CCTTGGTATCCCTATACCACCACCCGAATTTTATCACCCCGGTTTTTGGGGGAACCCAGTGGGCAATGTGAGGAACCCCCCCCCCCCCCCCCCCTCTCTTCTCACTTCGTCTTCTGTCCATGCCCTGCCGCCACCCCGGCGCCTTACCGCGCGACTTACACCCTCGTCAGCTCCCAGAGTCTGTGATGATGGATCAAAAGAATACATCTTCCACCTCTCACCCCCCCCTCCTGTCCTGTCACTCATCCTCTCGCTCCTGTCATTGTTTTTGCCCTTTCTCAAGCCTCTTTCGTCTGTGCTCTTCCCAAGCCCTTGCCTAGACAGATCGATCATCTCGCCCTCAAGCCTTGGGAAGACTTTAACAAACCTTGCCTGTCTCACCTCTTCACGGCTCTGCCTCACCCTTCCTTATCCTGCTTGTCCTCCCACATTCAATTCAATCTAAAAGCGAACAGGCTCCCCTCGATCTGCTCGCTCCGAATTCCGCGCCCCTATCACACTCACGCTCTCTCTTCGTGTTCTATTTCATTATCTGGCACCCGACTTTCCAACTTCCAGTCATTCTTTCACTCCACTGCACAGCCCGGGTACAAAACGGACTCTGGAAAGTGTCTGCGTCTCTCGTTATCTTAATATCACCGCGTATACGCTTATGCTGCTTGCTGTGCGCACTCCACGCTCGCTTACGAAACACTCGTTTACATATTCCGCCATTTGACGACCAGGAGCTCTCTTGAAGCGTCTCAATCTCATCCTGGACCAGCATCACACATCGGCAGCCATGTCGTTCTATCCACCAAACTACCATCCCTACGATTACGCGACCTACCCAGTCTACAGCACACAGTATTTCCCGACTCCTTACGATGAAAACTTTCACCCGCAGATGGCTTATATGCACAACCCGATGATGCCGGGCGTTGGTGGGAAGGCCACGGAAACAAAGCCGAGGCTTGCTAAAGACGAAGTCGACAAGCTTGAGAGGGAATTCCAGAAGAACAACAAGCCCAACAGCAGTACCAAGAAGCAGCTGGCTGAGGAAATGAGGGTGGACATTGCAAGAATCAACGTACTTAGAAGCCCGTCTTTGACAACATTGAGATATATACTAATGTTGACCAGAACTGGTTCCAAAACCGACGAGCAAAGGCGAAGCAAGAGAGAAGAACGCAGGAGAATGAAGCTCGCCGGAAGTCGGAGCAGGATGCAGAGACCACGACGACCAGTTCCGACGCCGTCAAGGAGTACTATCCTTCGAACGACCAAGATGAAGATCTTCGCCCGTCCGCGGCCCCGTTCCCTCCCATCAGCGCATCAGTACGGATACCGTCTGCCCACGAGAGCCCGTCAGTCGAAGAGGTCGATACCGGCGTCAATGAGTTGGAAGAGAATGCGCGTTCCACCACGGATGGCACCGATTCGGAGTATACCTCACCGGAGTCCACCAGCTACGCGTCTCAGGAACCAACAATGAGCTACTCCTTGACCCCAGACAACTTCTTCGCGAGCCAAACGTGCGACTTCCCGTCCTCGCTACCGACGGATATCACCACCCAAACGCCCTGCCTGACGATCTCCATACCCAGTCAGTTCAATATGCCGCACATTGCCGACTCCGCGAGCGCCTCATCTCTATCATCGTACCAACATCTGACTGGCTCTACCAAAATGGACGGCATGTCCTCACACTTCATGACCAACATGCCAGACTCTATCCAGCCCGACGTGAAACAAGAGCAGCTACAGAGCGAAGACATGAACAAGTTCGATCAGTTCTCCCCGGAGTCCATGGCAAACTCACCGCCAGAGATAACGACACCAGACTTCCGATTCAAGTCGCCATCCACCATCGACATCGCCAGCCGAAGAAACTCCAAGCGACCAGCTCAGCTTGTGAGCTGCGTACGCAGCCAATCATACAACTTCTCAGGTCCCAAGACCGGAATCGAGATGCCCAGACGCGAAGCACCAAGCCCCATGCGCCGTGTCGCATCCGCCACCGGCAACTTCCCCAGGGGAATTCAGAAGGCAACGAGCGCCGGGCCGCGATCGCCAAACTTTCTGGACCGCAACCAGGAGAACCTCCTTCTGTTGCTGGCAGGCCAAGGCCAGTCGCCAATTTCGCGAAATTCCGTGGCACCCCCTACACCCAATACACCGGTCGTTCCCAGCCAGCAGGAAATGCGCGAGGCAACTGTCTCGTCTATGTCATCCGAGGAGGACAAGAACTACGGCGTACAGACCAACTTGACCGTTCCCCAATACACGATGGACCCGACGCTGAGGACGCCCCCCGACACGCCCGGGTTGATGAACGCACCGGGGTCCCTCTTCTCCTCGTACGGCTTCGCGATTCCTGACGACTCTCTCCACACTCCCAGCTTTGGCGGGTTCGACACCGAGTTCCGGATGGCGACGAATGTTCCCACCTACGTAGCTCACGGCTGCGGGAGCCAGCCGGTGACACCATCATTCCCACCCAACAACATGGGGCCGGCATTCTGCGCGTCGTACTACGGCGGTGGCAACACCGAGTACAACTGGTCAGACGTGTCGTCCATGTCGGCCCAGCCTTCACCTGAGCAGTCTCAATCAAAACAGTTTCAGTTCACCAACATGACGCCACACGACTTTAACAGCAAGTAGACGGTCACGTTGAGCGCCGGGCTGCCCTTGGACTTGTATGGCGGGCTCGGCTGTGTACAACAATCAGGCGTTTCGGCTTCGGGCATAGCGACTGCGGGCATAAGCGACTGCAATGCATATTTGGCGCGTCATTGGACTACGCAAGCCTTTTCTATCTTTAATCAGCTACGATTTTCCTTTCTCACGATACCTACAACAACTCATGCACCAAAGAAACAATTTCTTACTTAATGTAATCATACTTATACGGCTAATGTCCTGCCAACGGAGGCGGTATTTGTTTGTCGCTGGAGAATAAAAGGGAGGTAGAACCTGGATACCCTACGGAGGAAATTGGTAGCAAGAGGAGAAGGATACGGCTATTTAACGCCACCGTTGGCTTCATGGGATCTGGGGACAACATGGATGGGGCTGAAGCATGTAATCGGCGAACCAGGTTAGCACGCAAGGATGTGTGATCCGCGGTGCAGAAGAGAGGAGGACGGGGGCGTTTTGCCTTCCAGCGATGAGCCTCGCATAAGGCTAGACTTTCAAGTCAGCAAAAAAACATCCACTGCAACATTTTTGCCCAATATCTCCACTGTCACTGACGGGCTGTTCCGTTGGACCTCGGCCTTGAAAGTGACGCTGAGGTCCGATATCACCGCACCGCACCGCGCCGCACAATGGATACTCCGAATGGCCTGTCGAATGAAGAGACACACCGGTCACCACCGCTCAAGCCCCGCTCATTTAAAGCAGTAGCATTGTCCGGGGCACAGGACCTATCCGGAGATATTCCGGGTCCGTGGGTGAGATTGAGAAGTGAGGTTGCAGCAGAGTTCACAAGCGTTGAAGTTCGTCTCCACAGCTGGAATGTCATTCGTCATTATCGGGACTCCCCCAAGGTGTCATGAGTTCGTGTGGGGAAAGTAGCCCATCGATCTGCAACATCTTTCCTTGCAAGACACCGGCATTCCCTCCTTTTGGGCGCCAACACCACATGGTCCTGAGTATCGCCATGGTCATGGTTCATGAGGAATGTGGATGAGACTTTTTTTTTTGTCCCTCTCTCAGACCGCCCTTTGAACAAACCAGACTGTTTCTACCGCATTCCTCCGTCGGGCTCGCGCCGACCCTTGAAGACAAAAGATATTCCCGCAACGGCTCGCACGTTTCCGCTCAAGTAAGCAATGGTGCCGCATTCCACGGATCCCATGGGAGGAAACAGGAGATGGAAGGAGAAACCCGACTACCTAGGTACTTCAAATACCGGGCAGGTTTGGTTCCAGCTTCCCCGTATTACGTCTGTCAACCCAGAGCAAATTGCCTAGTGTGATTCTTCTTCAGCGGTTCTTCATTCCCCAGACCCCATACTTCCCCGCATCAACCTCCATACCACGACCTACTACAGAGTGTTCCCCAAACACGTCGCGTCACTACCGCTCACGACAGCCGGGCATCCACTCTCTAATTCGCAACCCATGCCCATACCACCAAAAGAGGCCATCATAACCACTCAGTACTAGGTCACTGGCATTTGCGATTGGCCATTTTCTCTTGTCTCCTCAACTACCGCCGAAGTTCCACCGTCATTACACCAGAAGTGGCCCCCCTAAGTTGCGGGGAGCGACCTCTCTATGTCCATCGACCTTCCTCGAAGCAGGATGCAGCTCATGACGTGAGGGAACATTGCCTGCCGGCCTGCCTACATTGGTAGATGTCGCCGTTGGCCCCGTGGCCCAGGCCCCTCATCGTGTAAACAGACCCGGCCGCCCCTCGGTCCGATATATCCTTGTGGCTCTTCTCTTGGCATCTCGCTGACGGGACGGGATGGAACAGTGCGGTTGTTGTTGCCATGGGCATGTCGAGGTATAAGAAGGGGTATGACGGCCCTGGTGGTCAGTCATGCCCCGAGTCACTAACCCGCCGCCGCGAACCTGATCGACGTTTGAGTCTGAAGCGGGCACTCTCGACGGTTTTGACCATGGCTTTCACCGCCTACCTTCTGGCAACTTGCCTCTATCTCCTCCCGGCCCTGTCTGCGTCTGTCCGTCTCAGGAGCGACGCGCCTGTAGTGAACATCAAGAACGGTTCCTATTCTGGAATTCATAATGCGGCATACGAACAGGACTTCTTCCTCGGCGTACCTTACGCTCAGGTAATAAAATCCAACTGGACATTGATACACTGAGCGGTGGCCTAACATGGCTTCAATAGGTCCCGGAACGTTTCAGTACTTCAGAGGGTTTGAATGCAACATGGGAGGGCACACGTCCCGCTACGGAGTATCCTAAGCATTGCGTCGGCTACGGCGGTGACATGGTTGGCTACGAGTCGTCGGAAGACTGCTTGTACCTTAACATTGTTCGTCCTGCTGGCATCTCCTCAGATGCTCAACTGCCAGTAGCTCTCTGGATCCACGGAGGTGGTCTGGTATGTTGTCACTCCTTCTCAAGCCGGAAATCCCCAGATACGACTAACACGAACAAGTTCATGGGCGGCTCTGCAGACAGGCGCTACAACCTCTCCTTCATCGTCGAAAACAGTGTCGAACAGGGCACTCCTGTCATCGGCGTCAGCATCAACTACCGTCTGTCCGTCTTTGGCTTCCCCGGCAGCAAGGAGGCCATTGATGCCGGTGCTGCTAATCTTGGTTTCCGCGATCAGAGACTGGCTCTGCGCTGGATTAACGAAAACATTGGCAGCTTCGGGGGCGCATCTGACAAAGTCACCATCTTCGGAGAGAGCTCCGGTGCCGAGAGTGTTTCCGCGCAGGTCTTGGCTTACAACGGTATACTTTGACTCTCATCTGATTGCCTCCCAAATTCACTAACACTGTAGAGGGCGCGACGATGGTCTCTTCAGAGGTGCTATTGCGGAATCAGGCTTTGGCGGCGTCATCCCTCGATGGGCCGGTGGCCTGAACAACACGGAAGGCTACCAAGCCAACTGGGACAGCCTCGTCGCCAACATCTCATCCTGCGCCTCTACCGTCGGTACCCAAGAGTCACTGGACTGCCTTCGCAGTGCCCCCCTGGAGGAGATCAACTCTGTCCTCAACTCCACTGCTGGACCGACCATTGCGTTTTTCCCGGTCATCGATCACGATTTCATTGCGGACTACCCCACAAACCAGCTGAACAGTGGCGACTTCGTCAAGGTCCCCATTCTCATCGGCTGCAACACAGACGAGGGTTCTGCGTTCGGACAAGGTCGTGGACCAGGTGGCGGACCCGTCAACACTGACGATGACTTCCGCTACGCCGTCCGTAGCTTTATCCCAGACAACGTGCAGGAAACCACCGGGCAGTCTGCGGACGAGCTTGTCGAAGAAGTCTTGAAACTTTACCCCGACGATCAGGCACAAGGTATCCCGGGACTCGAAACCTGGCCACACATCATTCAGCCCGGCGAGGACATCGCGATTGCTCGGGGTCTGCAGCAGCGTCGCACCGGCGCATTCTTTGGAGACATGTAAGTTTCTACCTCAGGGGTGGCTTGTCACTGCGTATGTTCTGCATGGGAGAACGTTACTGACGAGATTTGTTGCAGGACCTTCCAGTTCACACGGCGTCGGGCCAACATCGCTTGGTCAACCCACAATGTGCCGTCGTACGCCTACCGCTTCGACGTCACTACGACTGGGACGCCTCAGTACATCGGAGCAACCCATTTTCAGGAGGTGAGTTTCCATACTTCGTACAGAACGCTATGTAGAGCGTTTTCGGCACTCATGCTATGAGTGAAGCGTGAGCTTTAGACTTTTGGGGTTCAAGCTGACGACAACCAGGTCGCATTCGTATTCTACAACCTCAATGGTCTGGGATACGATTCCAATCCGTTCGGCGGCAACGACACTGTCTACACAGAGAAGGCCACCGCTCTGGCCAAGACTATTTCCTTGTCTTGGGTCAACTTTTTCGCCCATCTCGACCCCAACGGCGCCCCTGGCCTGGGTTCTTGGCCTGTCTATGAGACCGCCAGCGGATCCGGTAGTGATGTCGTCTTTGGCATCAACGGCACCGAGGTTGAGACAGATGACTGGAGGAAGGAGGGCATTGATTGGCTCATCGAGCATGGCCTGACTGTCATCGGAGATTAGGGAGGTCAATAAACCATACCAAAAGGATTTGTAGAGAAAGACATGGAATCTGATTCTCTGAGAAGATTTTTCAGACAGAAGTCACGACGATGTTACACGCAGAATGGCGGATCATGCCACTCTGACGATCTCTCGCAAATGCTACACAACAAGGTTATCCGAGCAAAATATCACTCGTGACACGCCCACGGACAACTTCCGAAGATCTTGTCAACTATGGACATGATGAATTCGCTGCAGACCTCAAGGTCTCTGACCCCATGATCAACACATACTCACCGTGAGCACGCTCCCCGACCCCCGAGCTCCTGGAAGTAGGTAAGAAGACCCATCAAGCCAAGATTTGCTCGCCGGGACCAGAGACGAGAATAACAGCAGCCTACCAGTAACTCACCTGGACCCGATATCTGACGCACCCGGTGAAGCTGTTATGTCAAGGTTCGTGACGGCAGGGCATTGGAAGTGAGAAGAAAGTCAATTCTTCGTGTTTATGGTGGCAAACCCTTGGTACATGATCGGGGTGCAATTTCAGGATCCCTCTCCCTCGAATTGCCATCCACAAGAACAAGCTTTTCCCGCTTTCCCCATTCTCTTATTTGGAACCCCTTGGCTAGTGAGCGTTAAAAGCCTTAAAACAACTTCTTACGTTAGATCTTCCGGGATGCCGCTTTCTGTACCCGCAAAGGTGTGTGTTGCGCGCGTGCTGAGCCCATGGCGCCGCCATCTATGCATCCAGGAAGTTTACGGGCCCGAAGGCGCAGAGGAAAAATCAACCACATCACGAGGCCTACTTTATCAAGACCGCAAGCCTCCGGAACGCACCAACGGTGGATGAGCGTAATTCCCGGCCGTTCGGCCGGCAGATGCTGTCAAGCTCGGCGCCGAAAGTGGGGGCACCAGATCCACTGTTCGGCCCGGCGACGTTAAGCCCATCTGGCGTGATTTGGAACGGGCGGGGATAGTGAGGGGTTAAGCAATCGGTCTCGAAATCGTTGGTGCCATCATGCTCGATATTATGCGATTTGTGATTCGCGCCCTTCCGATGGGGTTATCCAATCAGGACACTTTGGCAGAGTTGAACGAACATGGGGACGTTTGAGTCCAAGGACTAGCAATTCGCAAGCAACCTCCCCATACATCTGGGGATGCACTGAAGGAACATCTTGGTGCGTTGCAACAACCCGTGCGTTCGACAGCATCAGGCCAAGCATCTCAAACTCACTTACACCCATCCACATCTCAACACTAAACCACCATTTTCAACCTTCCTCGACCACGCCACCATCATGTCGTACCCAGACCCAATCATCCCCAAAGCCCTCCCGGCCTCCGCCAAAATCGCCTTCATATCTCCCTCCTTGCGCATCAACACCGTCCTCCCAGCGCCGCTCGCCCGCTCCATCGCGCTCTTTGAATCCCTCGGGCACAAGGTCACGACCATCTTCAGCAACACGGGCGAGGACGAAGACCCGGTATCTTCAGACGGCAGGTCCGTCCACGCCTCGATAGCCAACCGCCTCGCCGAGCTCCGCGCCGCCTTCGCGGGCGACTTCGACGCCGTCTTCTGCACCATCGGCGGCTCCACCATGACGCAGCTTATCCCGTACCTGGTTGAGGACGCGGAGCTCCTCGAGCTGGTGAGGAAGAACCCCAAGATCGTCGTCGGATACTCCGACATCACCGTCCTCCACTGGTCCCTCCGCGCCCTCACCGGCCTCCGTACCTTCTACGGCCCGGGCCCCATCGCGGAGTTCGGCGAGGCCCCCACCTCGACCCGCGAATCCGTCTCCCGCTTCCTGAGCGCAGCCGTGGACGGCAACAGCGGCGAGACGACGAAGGACGTGGACGACGGCTACCTCCAGGATTTCCACCTCGCGCACCTCCTCTCCACGATCTCCTCCCCCAACACCTTCCCCGGCCCCGTCCCGCGCTCAAAGTACTACGCCCCTCTGCCCGCCTCCTACTTCTTCACAGCCCCAACCGAAACGACCCCCCGCGCCCTTTTCCCCACCCCACCGTGGATCTGGCTCCGCCCCGGCCGCGCGGAGGGCCGCCTCTTCGGCGGGTGTCTGACCGTGGTCTCCCGGATCCAGGGAATCCCGCGCATCACGCCCGACTGGCGCGGCAAGGTCCTCTTCCTCGAGTCCGCCATGGCGGAGGGCGACCTGACCAAGGGCAACCCGCTCGAGCGGGTCACGCAGGCGGTGGCGGACCTCGCGGCGCGGGGCGTCTTCGACGAGATCTCGGGCCTGGTGATCGGGCGGCCTCACGGGTACGACTCGGAGCGGGCGCGGGCCGAGTACGCGGCCTCGTTTACGGGTCTGTTGTGCCACGGGCGGTTTGCGAAGAGGCCCTTTCCGATCCTGATGAATGTGGACACCGGGCACACCTCGCCGCTGGTGACGTTGCCGATGGACGCGATGGCGGTGCTGGACTCGGAGAGAGATGAGTTTGCTATCGCGGAGACGGTTGTTGTCTAGCGCGCGCGATTATTCTTGCGTATGCGTTTATGATAAAACTCAATGAAGAGAGCACCTCACGACGATTCTGATTGTTCGCAAGTATGTCTGAGTTGTACCAGGACCACCTTGCGACTATGGAGATGTCTTGCCAACCCACTCATCATGTATACTGTTGACAATATGTTTACTATACCTTAATTAGCCAGTACGAACACATGAATCAAAGATCTTGAGTGAAGATATAAGGGCGACTGTGGCCGTTGGGTATTATTTTGTATTACATGATATGACTTCGCATCCTGCCACAGCTATTCTCGTGTGTCAACCTCTGTCCGGTATTTCCCACTTTCCTTATGTCACATTCATGTTCGTGTTTGTCATGAGAAGAAAAGAAAAAGAAAACCCCTTCTCCCGAAGCAGCGACTGACAATACTACCTTTGAACCCCTAACCAGAAAAAGCACAAAGACCCTCGAGGAAATGACTCCAAACGCTTCGCTGATGCAGTTTCTGGGGGTTGCCCGGTATGATGGAAATGATCGTGTGCTGTTATAGAAGAAAATAAATGCCTAGCTCGCCGTGTCGGAATATGACTCTGGTGTTGAAGTTTCTGTGCTCGTTCCCGCTTCCTTAACGGGCGAAAGGTCAATATCAAGCGACGCTTTCTGTCCCTAGTAGAAGCCGTCGTTGTTTGCGCTGCGAGAGCTGGGCGTCGATTGGACTGAACTAGAGTCACTTGGCGTGGGTGGCTCGACGACCTGGCTCTTGATTGTCATGATCCATTCGTGCTGAAGAAGCTCAACCGCGGATGCTCTCTTCTTGGGATCCCGAGTGAAACACCTTCTCAGGAAATCGATTCCCTGCGGGCTGAGTTGGTCGGTCGACGGCAGCTGAGGCGGGTTGCCTTGGGCAATGTTGTACATGATGGCCCATTCGTTGTCGAGATTAGCCCAGGGGCGGCGGCCTGTGGCCATCTCTAGGATGACGCAACCTAGAGACCAGATATCTACTGAGCCCGCCCTGCCTGGATTCTCGCCCTTGATGACTTCAGGTGACATGTACATCGGTGTTCCTGTCATGGACTTGTTGGGCTTGGTAGCGGTTATGTCCTGGACTAGCGTTTTGCCTTGTCTTGCAATGACCTTCGCAGCACCAAAGTCAACGTACTTGATGATACCGTTGTGGTCGAGAAGGATGTCTAAGATTTTGTTAGCATATATAGTCTGGTCTCTCGATTAGGTTTTGCCTACTTTCTGGTTTAATATCGCGATGGGCAATGCCGCTCTCATGGAGGTAAGCAAGACCCTCAAGCAGCTGCAATGCGTAAACCATAGTGACTTGTTCATCCTCGATACGGCCGTGCTCCAGCAAGTTTGCAAGAGAACCACCTTGACAGAATTCCATGAAGATGTAGACTCTGTCTCGGTGGACTTCGATACCGTAGTAGGATACAACGTTGGGGTGGTCGAGCACCTCCAAAACACCCATTTCGTCCTTGATCTGCTCGGCAATAGTAGGAATCAACTTGGGATCCTGCAGACGAATCTCCTTGACAGCCATCAAGTGGCCAGAATCAAGGTTCATAGCGGCGTAGACGTTGCCAAAAGTGCCGCCGCCCACAAAGTGACCCTGCTGCCAGCGCATCGTGATGTTCGTAGCTGATGACGAGAGGTATGCGAGGGAACGGTCAACTTCGTTGTTTCCCTCGAGGACGCGACCGAGTGCCTGTCTTTCGGCTTCCTTCGCCTTCCTGAATTCGTCCACTTTGTCGATTTCCTCCAATCTCTGCTCTGTGATCCATTTCGAAGCCTCTTGATCGTCGAGCATCCGATTTTTATCAAGACGCTTGAACTGACCCACCAAAGCCTCAATGCGCTCCTTCTCTGCTTGGGCGGCCAAGTTGGATCTGGCACCCATGATGTCAAAGTGCGAGATGAGAAGAGCCATGCAACCGGCCACCTTGGCTCGAAGCCGTGCATACTCATCCTCGCCCAAGGCCAGGATGTGCCTTCCTCGTGTCATGCCCATGGCGAACTCCAGAGCCAAGACCGCCCACCGGAACGTCTTTCGATCCGATGCGATACAGTCATCGCAGATGAAGCTGACCCAATCCAGCGCAAGTTTTGTGAGCTTCAAGTTGTTCATTTGTTTCCGATTGCTGTCCATGACAAGCAGTGATCGCTGACCGAACTCTGTTGCGAAGACGAAGCAAGTCTGGATGAGTTCCTGAACCTCTCTGCCCTGGGTTTGCTTTCGAATGATCTCAACACTGTCCATGAAGTTATTGGACAGTTTGTAGGCGACTCGCCTGATTTCCATGAGACGCGTGTTGACCTTGTGCAGGTTCGATCTCTGCTCGACCACCAGATCAACGTGCATATCCACAGCATCGATGAAAGCCTTCCTGGCATTTACGAGCCGAGCCTGTGCACCAGCAGCTACAAGTCTCATGTGACCTTTCTTCAGGTCGATACTTCGTTCTCGAACAGAGAGTGGTACAACATCGCCGAACCAGTGCGGCGAGCTTTCGGGGCGCAATACCAGAAGGTAGGGGTCTGTGACATCCTCGGAAAACTGCTCTGGGGAGCTGAGGCCGAGAATGGAGTGGATGGCCTCGTGTCTTTCGAGTAAGGAGGGTGATGCCATGATGAAGATGCCCTCTGCTTCGTAGAGATCGGTAAAGACCTGGAAGTGCCCAGAGGAAATAAGTCTGTCGTAGAACTCCTGGAGCTTCTCCGGGTCGAACGAGATGCTAAAGTCGGATGCGTTTTCGTAGTTTTCGCTCAACATCCTGGAGAATCGCTGCAACATCCGCTGCCTTACTCGAACGGAGTCCAAGCATTGCTTATATCTCTTGCTCATCTCAGCCGTACTCTCCTTCGGCTTGACTTGAAGCTCCTTCTCGAATGTCACACTCAGACGGTTGATGGCCTTGAACGTTAAAGAGCTGAACTGCTCGGCCACTTCGACGTCACCGCCCAGAAGGTGACTGCCGATCTCGTTGGCGAAATCCCACTCTTGAAACAGCAGTTCAGCTTCCTTGAAGGTGTTCTTGTTGCCACTGAGCTTCCAGTTGAGCATTTTGAAGTAGTATTTCAGAGCATCCAGAACAACCTGGTCGAACGATTCATCGATGCAGGGCGGAAGTTCCCAGCCGGGTTCTGGCTGCGTAACGGCGAGACACTCCAACTTGATACGGATTGCCAGCTTGAGGAGCAATTGGAATTGACCGATCATCTGGTCCTGCATCATGGGATTTTGTTGCGCGGACTCCTTGACCTTCTTAGCGTAAGCGAGTCGCATCTTGATAATCTCCTCAATCAACCGAGATGGGAAACTAATCAGCGTGAGAAGCTCTTCGATGTAGGGAGGGAGATGGCGTTTTTGGAAGGCGGCGAAGTTGCGGATGAGAGTATCCTTGGATTTGTTGATGACCGTTGAGATTCCTGGCAACATGCCCTTATGCGCATCCTTGTTCTTCTCGGTGTCAAACTCCTCATCGTAAAGTGACTTGAGGCCATCTTCTTTCATCAATCGGTCGAGGAATGACGATTCGTCTGTGATGCCATTGCCAACAGGAGAGCGCTGTCGTGTCCTCGTGAAGTCCAATTCTTCGTTGCCTACCCACTTCTTGAGAATGGCAAGTTCCGTGTTGATGAGTTCATTAGTGTTATACCAGGAAATGATAGATTCTGACGCTTCGTGGAAGAGCGGCGAGTTGGCTGACGGGTGTTCGGCCGCCAGTGACGTCCACGAGGGGTACAGACTTTCGCACTTGTCAATCTTCTTCACCACGTCCTTGACTTGTTCGTAGGGCGGCTTTCCAGCTTCGCTCTCGCCCTTGACGGAGAAGTTGATGATCTCGTCCAGGGTACGGTCAAGCGCCGAGCGGGCCTCCTCAACCATTCGTCTTTGCACGGGCAGATGTCTTCCGCAGACCTTTGATCGAATGCCAAGCCAAAGCTCGGCCTTTTGTCCACTCATTCCTATTGCTGTCTCATTGGAGCCAATCAGCCTCTTTTTTTCTTGCCTGACAACATCTCCAGTCAAGACAGCTTCCAGCATGCCGTGCCACTCTAGCCGTTCCCGGTTCGCGGGGTCCTTGAGATCTTCGTCGCTGGGCTGCAAATCGTCGTTGCCATAGAACATGATTGTTTCCTGGTCGTATCTGTCGTCAAAGGGTCCTTCGGAGGAGGGCGTCTCGCCCTCGGAGTCGGAATCACCGCCTTGACTCATGCCGTTGGAATAGCCGTCGAAGGGATAGCCGTCACCGTGATCCTGACGTAGTCTCTGAACGTATGCTCTCTCTTGCTGGCGAAACCTCTCACTGGGTCGTGGGCGACCCCTAGAGGATGCTCGTACGGTCTCGACGAAGGACGGAGGGGCTTGAGGTAGAGGCCTGCGGTGGGCGGCTGGGGCGTAGGTGTTGGAAGGGGTTCTCGCGGGGGCACTGGGCCTTTGGACTTTTGCGGCAGCAGTGCCGTTTGTATAGACAGGATCGCCGTCGCTGGCGTTGCTTCGTAGACTTCGTGTGATACCGCCGTTGGCTATCGTAGCTTGAACCAAGTTGGACACGGAACCAACCTGACCCTCGGAGTATCTGGCGAGAGAACCGACCTCATCTTGGCGCTCGAGGGCGTGCGGGTCGTCAGGGTGGGAATCGGCAGACGAGGCAGAGTTGTCGGAGTCGACGGGGATGGGGAGAGGACGCTGGGGCATGATCTCGTGTGGGCGCAATTCGTCGTCGCCGTTGGAAAAACGCACAGCGCGAGGGGACGGCTCGGTGGACATTTTGGCTGATTGTATATCGGATTTTGGGGGGGTCCCTGGTGAGGTGATGGATGGGTTCCCGATACGGGCCTGGTGGTCCGGCGCGGTTCGGTCTGTCGCTCAGCACTGCAGCTGCGTGTGGGACCTCGTCCGAAAGAGGGACAGCAGCATGCAATGAAGAGGCGACAGAAACGGAGAGCCCTGCGAATGGACCGTTTTGGGTGTGAGTTGAACGGAGATTAGGATGGCATGAGGCAAACGTATCCGTGCCGGTTGGGTGGGAGAAGGGCTGGAACGACGGGCGATTGAGGCGACGAGTACTCTGTACGACGGGAGAGCAGAAGTAAGTGCTGGGAAGCTGTTTCGAAGCTAGCCCGAATGCAATCTCTTACGGTGGTAAGCGGTTGCTCTCGGTGTGGGCGCGCGGCGAGGGCGGGGAGCGGCAAGAATATCCGTCTTGAGGACGAGACGGAGAAAAAAAAATTATGGGCAAAAAATCAAAAGGCGAGGAGATCACGATGCAGTTGTTGAACCCGCAATCAAAATGAGCCAGATGTGAAATTTGATATGGAGAGGATGGAGGAGACGAAAAGGGAGCGCGAAAGGACGGTGCTGGCGGACTGCGATTGGTTGGCCGGAGGCTAAAGTCGCGTCTACACTAGCACCACCAAAAGACCACTTGCAAGGGTGGTGAGTAAATCAGCGGGCTTACCGCACGGCGTCGCATCCGTATCATAAGGTAGGTACGTACGGATACAGTTGAGGGGGCAGGCACCGCAGACTGCTCTTAGCCACTCGACTAATTTAGCCTCTGCTTCGGGGGAAAAGACCGTGCTTGTTAGCGTTGAGAATCGAGTTGTTGTCCCCGTTAAATTGGTGCCATACAGTTGAAATTGAGGCTCTCATAGGCCGAAACATGAGGTCCATAAGTGGTGGTCGAGGGAAATGCTCATCCCAGCATGAGCTTCCTCCATTTTGCGGGGGTGTTTGCCGAGGGAGCCACAGATGCCACAGGTGCCAGCCACGGTGACCATCCATTCCCAGTCATCTACACTGCCTTAGTGTCTCCCACTTCTTTTTAGGGTCTTGGAGACGCAAAGACGGTCCCGAGGCGTGGCTGCTCGGCCCCTGTTGGCTGTCACAATGCGATGCTCCATCCAAGTGTGGCCGTGGCCATCGAACCTTTAGCCTGGAGATCGAAAACCATCGCTAATTCGTGGCGGAGACCATGCCTGAAAGCTCCGGACGATCCCTCGACCTGTGGCGAGTGCCCACGCAATCCCGCCATGGCACATGCCGGATCAGCGATACACCCTGCCTGCTTGTGGTTGCTTGCTGGCGAGACTTTCGCCTTTCCCGTCTGCCATGGCCCATCACCTCATGAGCCGATATCTCTGGTGTTGAAAGGTATCGCTTGTATACCCAGTATGGAAGAGTGCCGAAGAATGATATCTCGTGAGCTCCACGCGTCGAGTCTGATGTTTATCTGATGCTTCTCAGCTTGCCTTGCGTAACTGGCATGTGCTTGTTGCACAAAGGCAAAATGGCAATACTTCAGGAGCGGTTATTTCCCATCGAATTCTGCTTTCCCGATGCAATACCAAGAACACGATCTGTTAAGCTTCTTCGTGTCGCACATGCGCCAGCTTGCGTGCTTGCTTGGCCTAGGTACTTCGGTAGTCGCGCTTCGCGTGTCTCCCTTGCTTTTGGATCTAAATAAGCACTCGCATTATTTTCATGGAATGTTCCTACTACGATACACAATCAATTGTAGTGTGTAGTGTGCCTTTGAAGGAGTCTATGAATACGTTCACTCCTTCATCTCTGGTGGAATGTTACCGTGGTCAAAATCATGTCGTTGTTTCGCGTCAGACACGGTTGCAATCACCCAGCAATCACAACTGCCTGGTTCGCTTGCAACCGCTTGCAACGCGCGCCCGGTCTCCTCATCCGTTCCCTCGGGACATCGTCTCATCATGGTCCGGCTCAAATTCAGGTTTTGCGGTTGATCGCCGGTTCAATGACGCCCGGGCCTGACGTTGTTGGCCCCGTTTTTATCCGGCGTTATGACGAACATCAAGAAACATTCACGCCGTACAACTGGTCCGGAGCGGATGCCGGTGGCATCTGTTCCACTCGGATCTCTTCGGTGCAGCGAGTTGATTGGTGAAAGATCAGCCAGCATCTATTCCCCGATACTTTACTCAATTCCAAAATAGTTATCTGCGACACTATTCTTAGAGATGGACATAGGCTTGGCTTGGCTGGAAGACCATCAAGTCGAATACAACGGAGACAGCACTTCTTAGTGGGGCACTACCTGCCGAGATGAGATTTGTTCGGGATAGAAAGTAAACCTGTCGGTAAAGAGGCATGAACCGGAATGGAAGTCAATCTTGCTTACGATGGCAACAACAGGGCATATATATTTGAGGAGTTCTACTCGAAGGGCATTCATGCGGTACACCATGAGTAGCATCTCGTTAGAGCTGAGTCTGTTGGCAGAGATAGTGTAAACTGTGCTACGCTGAGCCGTCGGTCCGCAAAGAATACAGTAAAGGTTTTCAAACCATTAAGCCAATAACTAATTTTATATGTTTACCCGTATCATTCGAATAACGTTTAATTATAGATCGGCTAAATTGCCGACTCTCAAGCCACGAACCACGAATCGTGGAGGGCTCTCAGGGTAAGCTGCCTACTTGCAAGGGTTAGGGTTATGTGGACATCTCATTCTACCTACTCACTACAACCGCAAACTACAGTGCCAGTTCATGGAAAAGAATACCGAAATCATATGATGCCTTCTGGGAATACCATGTCTTGATTGGGGATGTCATTCCGACATCGCCTTCGGCACACCAGTTTTGGCTTGCACCTTCGGGTAGCTACCGCAGGTGCTCGGCCTGAGAGCCGAGCGGACCCGCTTCCCTATCGCTTCTTATCGGCCCAGGGACCTACATCCCCAAGCTCATTCTCCCCGCCTCGACCTCTTCCTCAGGAACTTTCCCTTACATTGGATTCCAGAGAAACAGATCCATTGATATCCAAGATGACCAGATTACGCCTTGTCGCAGCCGCCAGGACGGCGAGGCCGCTCTTTGCCTCTCCCTGCCGCAATGGCAGGCCCCTCGCACTCGCCCGCGCCGCCGCCGGAGCGACCTCCACCTCGGCCCCGATGCCGATGGCGGCGCCCGTACGCTTCTACTCGGCGGATGCGCGCAAGAACTGGAAGGAGAAGCTGGCCGCATTCTCGAAGCAGGACAAGACGCCTCTGTACGACTTCCACCTTGCCCATGGCGGCAAGATGGTCATCTTCGGCGGCCACCACATGCCTGTGCAGTACACCGGGCTGAGTCTTGCCGAGTCCCACCACTTCACCCGCAACCACGCCTCCCTCTTCGACGTCAGCCACATGGTGCAGCACCGCTTCACCGGGCCCAAGGCGGCATCTTTCCTCGAGACCGTCACGCCTTCCAGCGTCGCCGACATGGAGATCAACTCGAGCAAGCTCAGCACGTTCCTCTGGCCCATGACCGGAGGCATCGTCGACGACACCATGATCACCCGCCTCGGGGAGAACGAGTACGCCGTCGTCTCCAACGCCGGTACGCGGGAGAAGATCTTCAAGTACCTTACCGAACAGACGGCCGAGCTGCAGAAGCCCGAGAGCAACGACTTCTGGTGGGAGGTTCTGGAGGGATACGGCTTGGTTGCCCTACAAGGTCCTCAGTCTGCAGAGATTCTCCAGGAGATCATTGACCCCGCGGACGGACTCAACTTGGAGCAGCTTTACTTTGGCAACACTGGCTTCGCCAAGCTCAGATATAAGGTCAACGGCGAGTGGAAGACGACGTCCGAGAAGGCCATGATCAGCCGAGGAGGATACACGGGAGAGGACGGATTCGAGATCTCGTTCAAGTCGACCAACGGCGAGGCGCAACCGCTCGCCGAGACCCTGCTCGAGGTCGCCGGCCCGGAGAGACTTCAGCTCGCTGGTCTGGGCGCGCGCGACAGCTTGCGCCTGGAGGCCGGTATGTGCTTGTACGGCCATGACATCGACGACACCACGACGCCGGTGGAGGGCAGCCTTTCCTGGATCATCCCCAAGGAGAGGAGGACCAAGGGCGGCTTCCACGGCGCCGAGGTCATCACCAAGCAGCTTGTGCCCAAGAGCAAGGGCGGCGCCGGCATCGAGAGACGTCGCGTAGGCTTCGTCGTCACAGGCGCACCTGCGCGTGAAGGCGCCGAGATCTTCACCAAGGACGGCGAGAAGGTGGGCGTCATCACCAGCGGCTCGCCCAGCCCAACATTGGGCAAGAACATTGCCATGGGATACGTGAAGGAGGGGCACCACAAGTCGGGGACTGAGCTGGACGTGGTTGTGCGAGGCAAGAAGAGGGCAGCGACGGTATCCAAGATGCCGCTCGTTCCCAGCAAGTACTTCAAGGGACCTACTCCCGCACCGGCGTAAGGCCGTCTCGTCTCGAGTTGTATCATTATGAAAACTTTCAACAAGATATCCCAGTAATTGTCACGACATGTTTTGCTCATGCCGACGGCCTTGGCCTCGGTCTCATCGTCAGTTGTTTTGCGTCGGGTAGGAGTATCCGAAGTTCTAGAAGCCCAAAGCGCCAATGCACCTTCAAACAAACGAGATTTCGTAGATCTGATAAGATGCAGAGCCGTGATGACAAGAGTTTCAAAAAAAGACTCGGTCTGGCAGTGTTTGAGACATGTGGCCGCGAAAAACCATGGGAGGCCATCACGGAAGCGAAGAGCGATGGCGACCCTCAAACGAGCGGCTGATTGATCTGGCAACGATAACCTGGTTTTGCGACAAACATGGTAGAGGTCAGCAGCGTGAGTCGACAGGATCGTGTTGCGTTGAATGTATGTAGAAAAGAGGAAAGAAAGGGAAAGAAAACACGAAGCGCAGAAATCTTTTGGTGTTTGGCCGATGGAGCTGGAGGGCGCTAGGGCGGATCCGGCTTAGTTTCGGGTTGCATTGGCCAGGGTGGGGGCCGCCCTCTTTTTGTCTTTTCAGAAGTTGAGTTGAAGATAGAGATATTCGAGCCGAGTTTCGTTCCTGTTCGACAACTCTTCTCCCGGCTAGGACTGCCCGCTAGCTGCCGTTGCGGATTTGATCTGAACACCCTTTTTTCCCAAAGTCGACGCCGATGCGAGTCGGGAGAGCCGCAGATAGTTGACACTCGGTGACAGGCCCGTCTTTTGCCAAGCTGGCCGGGATATGCAGAGGTGTTCTAAATTCGGCTCGAATTCGGCGTTGATTCGACTGGTGGTGCATTGGTGACTGGCAGGCAGTGTACCGTTGTTGGTTGCAACCAACTGACAGGACCCTTGAAGGATCAAAATAATCAGATATGACATTCAGTCAAGTGATCAACTCTGAGGTGAGAAGGGGAGCAGCCACGGAGTAAACATTGGGGCAAGGCGGCTCCATGTGATGGAATATGTGCTGACCGCGGTCGTACTCTGGCATCCTGTCAAACCATGATCACTCACTAGGCGCTGTTCTGGGGTTTTCCAGAAGGGGTTGGCCAGCAGCGTAGAAGCAGTGCGGAAGTAACATGACGTCAGTTCGTCAGCCGAGGGACGGACACGAGCGCAACCTTAGTATATTGCACTTCGTTACGGCTTCCTCCTCGCTGCCTCAGACGGGCGGCATTAAGAGCTGCCTTGGCACGTTCAAGCGAGGAGAACGAATACAGCCTCTCCAGATCATGGATGTGTGTGTTATATCGAGCATCACGCGGCCCCACGATGGAGTGTGGGAGCGGGCAGATCAAGCGACGGCAAGTACTGCGTAAGTGCCGGTTGACTCGCGCCAACTGGCCTACCCCAGTGATGCGGATGCGGCTGCTGCAGACCTTTTGTGCGAGCCAACTAACTTACTGTTGATGGTGGTCACATTTCTGGTCTGACGACCTCGCTCGACGGCGTAGGATGCAGCGGCAAGGGGCCACGGGGGCCGATCATAGGTGCCGACACCATCAACGACTCCCCTCTCGTCTTCCTTCACAGGTCCTGGTTGATGGCTCGTGTGCTGCATTGCCTTTTCGTGTTGCCGCCCTTGTCTTGGAGATAGCGACTGCTGGCCAGTGACTGCGGTCGAATGCTGTGTCTCAGGCACGAGGGGACCCTTTCCAGGAGGCGAAGGGTGTCGTCTCACGAACACACGTGTTGAAGTGCTGATGCTCGATTGGCTGCTGGCAACTAAGGTTTTCAGCCTTGTGGACTGGCCAGCAGCGTGTCAGTGGGCGCGAGATGCTGGAGTCTGGGGCCTAGCAGAGTAAATGCGACCTGGAAACACTGCGACGACCAGCGCGTTGTGCAAAGTGAGGGGTTTCACCTCTGACCACCTCCCGTCGCCTCATCATCCATGGATCCATAGACCCTGATGGCCAATATTTTGCGATGTTTCTAGCGACTTGCACCCAGATGCGGAGGGGGGGAAAGGCGGGGATAGAGACAACCTAACGCGGGAGGAGGCAGAGCGCATGCGAAGATGTGCAACAAGTATTGGTCGGAACTGGCGGATGAGCAACACATTAAAGAGCATGAGACAACGCTCTTCCCGTCCGACTTTTGAAGATGATCCCTTGAAAGATGGCACTTGTGATGCGTCTCTCTCTGCTTCGCTGACATCCTCTTCCCAGTCACAGTTGGTCACCAGCCAACAACGCCTAAACCGCAAACCAGAAAAGGCGCCACAAAGCATCATCGTCGCCATTTGCGTCCGTCAGATTAAAAGCCCAACAGCCGTCAACGGGAGGATCACCCCTCGAGTTCAACTGGTTTTTTTAGGGTCTTTCCACCACTAGCACCGAGCTTCCCTATTCCCTGGCCAGCATACCTAAGGTACCTTACGGATAGCACAGCCAGGACCTACCCAAGAGCTGTAACTGTGACGTGGACCCTGGCCTTTTTTTTCGTCTCTCAATCTCGCCCGTCCTGTGTTCCTCACCACCACCAGGGAGGGAAAAAGATCTGGGTGCCACTCAATATCAGCTCCCTGGTTCCCTGCGCCCGCCTCGCCCAGCCCCGGAGCCCTGAAATTCAAGTCACGGCCACCGCAGGAAGCCAGTCAGACCCTGTCTTCGACCATTTACAGACCACACCGCGCTCTTCACCTATTCTTTTCTACGGGGACAGAAAAGAAGCTCGGGGAACAGAAAACCATGATTTAATAACCTTGAATCGCTCCCCCAGTCGACGCCTCGCTTCCCTCCCGCTCTCTTTTTTGGCTCCCACGCGACAGCCGTCCCATTCAGCTCTTCATCCTTTCTCTCGGCAGGTCGTCCGTCGTCGCGCCTCTACACGTCAAAGCTGCCAAAGATCAAACCCAGGTACCGCGCCGCGCCTCGGACCTCCCAGCAATGCGGTCTTTACCCGCAATAGTGGGCTCGCTGCCGATGCAGCTCGCCCTGCTCCAGCAGTTCCTGCATGGCGTCACAGCAACACCTGTCGCCAGTGGGCACCTGCAACAAGTTATTGGTCCTGCCTCTAACTCTGCGCCCGCAGGCGTTCAGGAACAGCCTCGCCGCTTGAACGGGAAGTTCCTGCACATTACAGGTACGTGGGATGCAACCTGACGACACCCAAATCGCTGCTCGAGCGGCATGGCTGTCAGACGCGATGGCGTCCTGTAGCTGGCGGCAGCGTGCGCCTCGAAATAGGAACAGGGAGCTAACAAGTGCCGTGCGCCTGTAGATTTTCATCCAGATCAATTTTATCAACCCCATACCTCTACGGCGGAAGAAGAAGCATGCCACAAGGGCAACGGACCCTCAGGATACTACGGCGCAGAAACATCCGATTGCGATTCCCCCTTGGCTCTTGTAGATGCGACTTTCGACTGGATCAAGGCGAACATCGCCGACGACATCGACTTCATCATCTGGACTGGTGATTCAGCGCGCCACGACAGCGACGAGGACATCCCTCGGAACGCAAGCCAAGTTCTTGGCACAAATCGACTCATTGCCGACAAGTTTTTCGAGACCTTTGCCCACCCGACCGATTCCACGCGCATGACGGTGCCAGTCATTCCCACATTCGGAAACAACGACATTTTGCCGCATAACATTCTGCGACCTGGTCCGAATAAGTGGCTCGGTTACTACGCCGAAATATGGAAGCATTTCATCCCCGAGGAGCAGCGTCACTCCTTTGGATTCGGCGGCTGGTTCTACGTCGAGGTCATCCCGAACAAATTGGCCGTCTTCAGCTTGAACACGCTGTACTTCTTCGACCGAAATGCGGGTGTCGACGACTGCCAGCAGCCATCGGAGCCTGGTTTCAAGCAGATGGAGTGGCTCCGCGTGCAGCTACAATTCCTCCGCGACCGCGGCATGAAGGCTATTCTCATGGGCCATGTGCCGCCTGCTCGTACCGACAGCAAGAAGAACTGGGACGAGACGTGTTGGCAGAAGTACAACCTGTGGATGCGTCAATATCGTGACGTTGTCGTGGGATCTTTGTACGGCCACATGAACATCGACCATTTCATCGTGCACGACACTAAGGACGTCGACATCGATATCCTCGGTGGATTCGCCGTTGACGACGAGGTCAGTCGCGAAGCTTTCGAGGACGAACTTGAAATTCAGTCTGCAGCGGACTACCTCCAGGAGTTGCGAGAGGGCTGGTCGAAGCTTCCAAACGTGTCCAAGGTGCTTGAGGAATCAGAGTCTGTCGAGACAGACAAGAAAAAGAAGAAGCACAAAAAGAAGCCGTCAAAGGACCTGGGCGGCAAGTACGCAGAGCGATACCACCTCTCTCTGATCGGCCCGAGCATCGTTCCCAATTACTTCCCAACGCTCCGTGTCATGGAGTACAACATCTCCGGTCTCGAGAACGCGGCAGTTTGGACTGACTCGTTCACCGATACGCTGTCATCAATTCAGCTTCCGACCGATGACGATCCGATTCACGAGGAGCTTAAGCGCGACATTGAAGCTGCCAAGAAGAAGAAGAAGAAGGGGAAGAAGGGGAAGAAGGGCAAGAACAAGCCGCCAAAGTTGGGCGAAGATCCGAACTTGGTCGTCCCCGAACCACCTCCATCCGGTTCTGGCCCGGGCCCTGCTTACGCGCCTCAGCCCTTGACCTTCCTTGGATACACCCAGTACTTCGCGAACCTGACATACATCAACAACGATATGACGCATGAAGAGGGCGCATCCGCCAATAAGTGGCGCGACGGCATCCACAAGGACAAGGATCCCAAGTCCAACAAGCCCAAGCCGAACCCCTTCGAGTTCGAGGTCGAGTACAGCACATTCACCGACGAGATCTACAGCCTGTCGGACCTGACCGTGCGGAGCTACGTCAAGCTGGCGCACCGCATCGGACAGGAGAGCGCCAAGGGCAAGGCTCTTGCGGAAGATTTCGAAGAAGACGAAGACTCAGTAGACGAAGACGATGAAGAACACGATTATGATGACGTAGACGAAGACGTAGAAGTAGAAAAGAAGAAGGGTAAGAAGGGCGACAAGAAGAAGAAGAAGAAGAAGAAGAAGCATAACAAGGTGTGGTTGCATTTCTTGAGGCACGCCTTTGTAAGGACGGTGCCCGAGAAGGATCTGAAGAAGTTCTAGAGAGAGATGTGAGGGATACGGCTGCATCATTTACATTCAGCATTGTCGTTTGTTTGGTTTCCTCTGCATTGCTCTCGCATGAGTAGATGAAAGAATCCACGAAAGTGGACGGCGTTCCGGGGTAGCGAAACGGTTTTTTGTTTGGTCGAGTCGCCTGAGGGCATCGAAGCATTTACATCCCGCGAATTGCTTTCGTCCTTTGGATGTGTTTCAAACACTGTAGCATAGCATAGCTCTGCGAGCTTGATCGTTGCGACGATGGAATGAATCAAGAAAGTCATATGGTCATTTCATTACTTTTGTTTTGTCTACCAGCCCTTGATGCAAACCAGTAAACTCAGCACCCATATCACGGCCGGTCTCTACCTGGTCGTGAATGCAAACGGAAAAGAAACAGGAGGGCTCTAGTCGCTCTCGCTCGCCGCCCCGTTGGGAGGGTCGGAAAAGCCATTCCACGATGACTCCGACCCCGAGTCCTCGTCCTCGTCCTCCTCGTCCTCATCAGACACCGACTCGTAGTCCTCCGAGTCTTCCGAGTCCAGCTCACCGGCGCCTTGGAGGATGGAGCCCGCCCCCTCGCCCCGGATCTGGGCCTCGAGCTCTTCGTTGTCGATGCCGAGCGCGCCCGAGATGTCCCAGCGGTCGCCCTTGGCCGCGCGGCCGACGTACTTGACGAAGCGAAGCGTGCCGCTGTCGCGAAGCACGAGCGTGAGCTTGTTCCACGCGGCCGCCTGGAAGAAGAGGATGTTGTCGTCGTCGCCGCTCGACTTGTAGATCGCCGCATCCTCGTCCTCCTCGCCGTCGTCGCCGGCCATGTACACCTCGTGGCCGCCGACCTCGACCGGTTCGTCCTCGTCCTCCGGCTCGGGTTCGGGCTCCGCCTTTGCTTTCTTGCCCTTCTTTCCCTTCTTGGACTTTCCGCTGGGCTTCTCCTCTTCTTCCGCTTCGGGCTTCTCTTCCTCGTCATCGTCGTCGCCCCAGCCCTTGGACGGGGTGATGCCGAGGTTGAACTCGAGACGCGGCTTGCCGGTGTGGCCCGTCGCGAGGGTGTAGTCCTTGCCGTGACGGAAGCGGCGGGCGAGGAACTCGTGGTTCTCGACGACGACGCCCGTGGCCATCTGCAGCCACTCGCGGAACTGGCGCGACGGCAGGAGGTGGTCGAGGAGCTCCGTCAGGGGGTTCTCTTCTTTCGAACTGCGGAGCTCGTCGGCGCCGGCGGGCTGCTGGTACAGAAAGCGGTGCTTGTGCGGCGGGCGGGCGACGCGCCAGGCCGTCTTCTTCTCGATCTTGGCGCCGTCTTCGGGGAGGGCCTTCTTCTCTTGCGACTCGATGTAGTCCCTCAGCCGGGCGCTGAACTTCTTGGATAGGATGTTGGAGAGCGTGATGCTCGAGTTCTCCTCAAAGTGCGCCGCGACCTGCTCGAGGGTGTCTGGCGTCAGGTACTGCGGCGTGATGTAGTTCAGCAGGAACTCGAGACCGGCCTCGTCGAAGGCCGCGGCCGGGTTCGAGCCGGGGTCTTTCGCCTCGACGGGCCGCGGGATCGGGGTGTCGTGCTGGTCCGGGTTGCCTTGCAGCTGCATGAGACCCGAGTTCTTGACCTGCTTCTCCTCCGCGCCCTTGACGTAGCCGTCCTCGCCGACCTGGGGGATGTGAAACCAGCCCGAGATGGCCATACGGATGCGGCCGCCGTCCTGCTCGAGCTGAGCCTTGGACTCGGCGTGGTAGACCTCCTCGACGTCGTGGAACGACTCGCCCGGCTGGACGGCGAAGAAGGAGAGCTGGTTCCACGCGGGCGGGATGACCTTTGTGTGGTCCGGAGCGGGCGTCTTCGCGACCTCGCCGTCCTTGCCCTCGAGCTCGTTGACGGGGAACAGGCGGAGAGCGCCTCCCCATTCGGCCTTCCAAGGCTTGTCCGGGTCGGTGAGGTAGAGGATATAGCTGACCTTGCGGCTGCCGATGACGTCGTCGTGGCAGAGGAGATAGCAGCCGGGCGTGTAGACGTTGATGGCCATGTCGGTCTTGCGGCCGCTCAGGGGCCCGCAGCCGGTGATGTGGGAGACATAGTTGCGGAAGGTCTCGGAGTAGATGGCGTCGCGCAGAGAGAGCAGGGAGGGCAGCTTGCCGAGGGCTTCGTCGTCGAGGCCGTCGAGGTTGGCGAGGTCGCCGGACTGGTGGATCTTGTAGATGTCTGTTTCTTTCGGGGTGAAGGAGACGTTCTCGCGGATCTCGTCGCGGACGGAGCGGAGGAGGGTATCATCGACGAGGCCGCTGATGACCGAGTGCTTGTAGGGGGACGATGTCGCGTATTCGGAGGTGTAGGAGTCGAGGACTTCTTTTTCGAAGAGGCCCTTGCGGAATCGCGACTTTGCGACGTCGGCCGAAAGGGCTGTTTTTTTGGGAAGACTCGGTGTTAGTGGGAATGACGTTGGTAAAGTTGGCGACGGGTTTTTTCCAACTAACTGGTCTTGGACTTCTTCTTGGACGGCTTCTTGTCGTCAATTCGCGAATCCGCCTTGCGCTTCATCTTGGCCGATTCAATTGAACTTTGTTATCTCGTAGAAAAGGATTTGTCTGGTGCGCAAGTGAAAAGAAAAAATTGTGTTGGCAGACTTTCCAAGGTCATATTTGGGGACCATGAGCTTCGCTGATCGGATCGGAGGTGGGCTGAGGTCCCACATAAATCTTTTCCCATGGCAGCTGTTTTCGCGGCAAATCGTCCCATGCGCGGCGTCGGGACCCTGCAAGCCCGCCCGGTGCAGCATCCCGTTGTTATTTCTTACACCGCCGCCGTCCAATCTTTTCAGAGATCGGTTTCTTCAGGGAGAGAAAGAAAGGTTGAAACTTTTACCAACATGATTGCCACCCACCCAGTGGACGACTTCAGATATGGCATTCAGATGCCCAGCGACTTGCATGACAGCTCAAGCGCCGGGTGCTCCATTTTGTTCGAAAGCATTGCGAGTCGCCAGCCTGACTGGTAAGGAGCCAATGCCATCTGCAGTTATATCTGGCATTCATTATTCTTCCCATGGAAGCGCTCGGTTTCACAGGAGGTCTAGTGTTGGAGTACTAGTAGGAATGCACCAGCAACATGGTATGCAAGTGGTGCTTCGCTCGAGCTGCAGGCTTAAGGAGGTCATCATTCAATTCCAATGAGATTGTGACCTCGCCGGCGCACTGCAAGGAGTTGGTGGTGTGGCCTCCGTCTATGCGGGCTTCGGACGGAACTCGAGTGTTCAGATGGCCGGAGCTTCAGGGAGCCGTTGCCAACCGCCGACCCCCGCCCACGCCCCTCCACGAGATTCCCCGCCGCTGGCGTCCTCCGATACAAACGTCATGCATCCCCATCCCCATCTCATTGGCGTCAAATTGCGGCTCCAGACGTGTGCATCTTGGTCATTAGTGTCTCGATTGGGCAGCTCGCCATCTTAGCCCCGGTTCCATCGCGTAACTCAATTCCAGCTCACCCCCGCTTCGTTTACGAAAGAGCTACCTTAAGGTACTGCATGAGTCCCATAGTCTTAGAGCTTAAACCACTGCAACGACTCATCTTGTATTATCTTATCTTGCTCATTTCATCTCAACTGTTCCCTTAGCATCCCTGAGTTCAGGTGTCCGACACAAACCAGTTACACCCAGAGATCTAGAGTTGTCAACTCTTGCAATGTCTTCTCAAATCGACATCGCGGCTACTCGGGCCAAGTTCCCGGCTCTGGCCCAAGACCAAGTCTTCTTTGATAACGCTGGCGGGAGTCAAACTCTGGGAAGTGTTATCGATACGTGCGTCTGGGCCTCCAAGCTCTGTCCACAGCCAGCTCACTTACAACGACCAGGATTCGGGACTACCTGTCCCAGACCAACGTCCAGCTAGGAGCTTCTTACAAAGTTGGCCAGCGCTCAACTGCCCTCTATGGCGACGGCTACCAAGCCGGGGCTAAGTACATCAACGCATCCCCGGACGAGATCGGTAGTAGTCCCCTGGGCATATCTCATTTCCGGCAGATCTAACGATGTCCAGTCTTCGGCGCCTCGACAACCCAGCTCTGTCGAAACCTCTCTCACACTCTCTCATTCGACAAGGCCGACGAGATAATCGTCTCCGCGGTCGACCACGAAGCCAACATCGCCTCCTGGGTCGACCTCGCCTCTCGCCAGGATCTCGTCCTCAAATGGTGGAAGCCGGACAGCGCGACCAACCCTAAGCTCACCGTGGAAAATCTCAAGCCTCTGCTGTCTCAAAAGACCCGCCTCGTAACCCTGACCCACGCGAGCAACATCCTCGGCACGATCCACGACGTGGCGGCCGTTGCGTCCGCGGTCCATGAGAACACGCCAAAGGGTCTCGTCTGCGTCGACGGCGTGGCTTATGCCCCTCACCGGCCAATCGATGTTAAGGCCCTAGGTATCGACTTTTATGCCTTTTCGTGGTACAAGGTGTATGGCCCGCACACGGCCATGTTGTACGCGAGCCGCAAGGCGCAGGATGAGCACATGCGTTCGTTGGGGCACTTCTTCAACCAAAGTGAGACGCTCGAGGGTAAGCTAGGGCTTGCGGGTGGCAGCTATGAGCTGGTGTCTGCCGTACCAAAGGTGTTGGAGTATCTGGGAACTCCGCAGTCTGAGGGTTGGAGCGGCAAGATTGAGCAGGAGAGGCAGTTGCAGTCGACTCTGCTCGAGTATCTCAACGGCCGGGGTGATGTCACCATCTACGGCGAATCAGATGCCGGCACTGAACGCCGTGTCCCGACGATCAGCTTCAGAGTGAAGGAATGGAGTGCCAAGGAGCTGGTCACGGCCGTTGAGAAGGATACAGACTTTGGGTTCAGATGGGGGCACTTTTACTCGTACCGTCTGCTGAAGGACATCTTGGGCCTTGATCCCGCTGATGGCATCGTCAGAGTCAGCATGGTCCACTACAACAGCTGTAAGTTTGTCCGTGCTGCCCCAAACGAGATTGTCACTCACATCCTCCAGTGGACGAGATCAAGAGCTTCATCGCCGCGATGGACAAAGCACTATCACAGAAGAAGTGAACGTTTTGAATGTATAGAATTAGGATTAAGAAGACCAACAAATCTCCTCTGGGTGAGACGGTTGTCCGACTTGATAGTATATACTGAAACATCAATCATGGCTTGCGTTGCTTTTCCCCCGGCAAATGAAATCAAGAAACAAAGAAACGAAAAACATGAAAGTCATAAACATGAGCTGTTGTGGCCTGCCACGATTGGGGCTCTCTAGAGCTTGCCGGTCCTCTTCTCGACGGCTCGTCTCAATAACGCAATGATCTCGGCGGGATCCTTGGCGCCAAAGACGGCGCTTCCAGCCACGATGACGTTTGCGCCAGCTTCGGCCGCCTGATCGACGGTCCCGGCTCCCAGGCCACCATCGACCTCAATGTTCATCTCGGGGTATTTGGCGCGCAGGGCCTCAACCTTGGGCAGGCAGTCGGCCATGAATTTTTGTCCGCCGAAACCGGGCTCGACCGTCATGACAAGAACCATCTGCAGGTTTGAGGTTAGGATCGCTGTGTCTGGGGCTCGCTCCCCTTGTGGAACGTGGAATAATCTCAGGGGCGGGGTAGAAGAGGCTTACTTCGGGCCGCTCAAGAGGGTCCTCGCTCTCGAGAATGTCCCAGAGAACGTCAACTGGCGTTCCGGGCTTGATGGCAATGCCTGCACGAATTCCTTGCTCGTGAATGTAGCGAATCAGGGCCTTGGGGTTTGTCGTCTCGTTTGATGTGGTCTCGGGGCTCTCGGCGTTGGTGGAGAATGCTGCCTCGTAGTGGAAGCAGTAGAGGTCTGCACCAGAGTTCACCATCTCCTTGACCCATTTCTTGGGCTGAAGCAGGAAAAGCACTGATCAGCAACGGTTCTTTTATCTCAAGCGCAGGAAGTCGTCTCTGGTTCCCATTGCAGACGGCACGAGGGAAGACATGCGCAGGGTAGAGCTCACCTCTGAAACCATCATGTGACAGTCGAACGTGCCAGTGCCGTCAATCTCGGTGGGCTTGGAGACGTGGCCGCGAATCTTGCCAACGACTGCAGGTCCGAAGGTGATGTTGGGCACAAAGTGTCCGTCCCTAAGGCACAGTCATCAGCTCTGTCGGGCTCTCGAGCTCTCGAGCGTCGTTCGTAGACAGAGGCAAGCTCTCTGTCCATGGGGGTTCTCGCGACGCCCTTGGCTGCTTCGATTGCAACGGGGAATGTTTACATGATGTCAACATGAAGCCAGTCGGCTCCTTGCGAGATTGTGCGAGAGCAGCACGCGCCGAGGTCGGCGAAGTCGGCCGCGAGGATCGAGGGTGCTACGATGGGCTTGGGTGCCATTTTGAGGTGATTGCCGTGTGAGTTGTGGTACGAAGGATGGAGAGGAAGTAAAGGGAGGAAGCTGAGAAGTCAGGGGGAGCGGTGTGGGAGGGTTATGCTGGGTTTTGTGCGTGCGTGTTCGTGAAGATTCTGTTGAGGGCGGGAGGGTTCACTGGAAAGCTGCGACGGTATGCGACCCTCGGAAGGCATGGTAAGCTATGGACCCTGAACTCAGGTCAGCTCTTTTGGCGGGGCTAGACCCGGGTTCACAAGTGTTGCGCTGGGTTATTCCCACACTCTGATTCTAGAATCACTAATTATTGAGGGGTCGATGTCCAGCCGGGCGGGGTCGGCCGACCCGCCGGGGGCACGTACCGCCCGTATGATAAGGTCCGGAGTACATAACGCCGCGGGGGGCCATCGGAGTTACAGGACACTCGTGGAGCTGTTCCTTAGAATAGCTCCACTGACCCTTCCCATTGGGCTGGCAGAGGGCCGCGAGACGGGGTCAATTGGTCGCGACGTCGGCAACGTGCTTGACGTTAGGCGAATGTCATGATGGACCTCCGAGCCCCAAGAAACACTCGGGCCATTATCCGCCGGGCGGATTTTGCTCATCAGGTGCACCTCTGTGACCCCCACACAATCTCACGATGCGGAAAACAGGAAAAGCGCACCACCTTGAGCGTGACAGCCACGCTGGTAATCCTGACAATCACGACAATCACTTCTTGGAACCTCGTCATAGTCTTCTGTTTTTACAAATACGACTAACATTACTCCGGCCCATCGTGTTCTGCCAACTTCGTGGTGTGATGCAGGCGAAGCAATACATCACACTTTCGGCCGAGAGAGTCGGCCCAGTTGCGGTTGAGCTGCCGGGGGTTGAAAAAACACTCAACTCGAAAATGACTCCTGGTCCACTCTAACTGCCTGAATAATGCTGTCCATCCATTTACTAGGTATACTTACACATGCCGTGGCCCATGTCTCCAGTTGTGCCGGAACTGCGCTCAACCGTCAAAGCTGTACTTCAACCAGCCGCCCAATGCCTTCAAGCTCTCCCATCGAACGTGTTCGTCTGAGTCTCCCATGAGCTCCATCACTCTGGTCTTGAGGCCGAGCTTCTCCAATTGGTATCTTTTCTCCGGCACCTCCTTGACCAAGGCACCTACGTCGTTGCAAGCAATGGCCAAGACCTGCTTGTCGTTGTCCCACGGCCTCTTCATTATGTTTGCGAGTTTGCGCGGGATGTCTCCGTTTTCATGGTCCAAAATCTTGCGCGCATTCTCTGCCCAGAACACCTGGCTCCTGTGAGGTGGAGACCAGCGAAGGTGGCCGGATTCGACCTCAGCAACGTATTCGTCAAAGGTGGTCTTTGTCTTGGTGTACTCCTCAAGCAGCTCCTTCAAGCTCTGGAGGTCCTCCAGCAGATCGGGGTCCGTCAAGTGGCGACCACTCAGGTTCTCGAGGAGTGCGGGGAGTCGTGCAAGTACCGCAGTAGGAAGGAGGGACTTTTGGTTCTTGTCGAGCAGGTTGAACAGAGTTGACACAATCAAGCGTGTTGTCTTCTCCTTCGGGGAAAGACGCAAGAGCTGGGTGTACAACAGGACGATGTCATACTCGCTGCAGTTTGTCAGTATACAGAGCAAGGGAAAAGTCTCGGAAACGTACTCATTCAAGTCGTCGCCGAATTCCTCGGCCTCAAAGCTCAGTTGCCATATAACCAATAGTACATGGTACAGCAGCTGCAAGCCAACCCCGCCGCCGAGCGAGCCTTCAAAGCCGATGGATCGTGGAGGCGCGTTGCCACTCCATATGCTTGCAGAAGAGCTTCCGTTGCTTCCAATGCCCGCAGCCGTCCTGAGGATGTCGATCAGAGGCGCAATAGTCTCGCTTCTTTGGTTCCAAAATTGTGTTCTCGACGCATGCCCGTAGAGAAGCGACGAGTATTCCTGAACTGCAATGTCCTGGAGACCAGCATCGGAACTCTTTGCGAGGCCCGAGAGATATGTGAGCAAAACGGGGATGGCGTTACGGGTCGCCTGCGATTCGTCGAGCGAGAGAGACATGAGTTTGGTCAAAGCCGTCGAGGTGAGCGGCGGAATCGGATCTTCTGTGCTGTTGGAGTGCGCGAGCAGCGGGAGGAAATGCTTGTAAGGGTCTGTGTTCTTGAAGAGAGCCTTGGCAAGTGACGGCACACCTATGAGACGAGGTTGAAAACGTTAGCGGCTGGGATAGTAAGAGTATCGTTTCGGCATCGAAGCATATCAATCTTGGGGGTATAAGGCAGTTCTAGGGAAGAAACATTGGTTGAAGAAGGCGTAGGTTCGAACTAGGACGATGATGCATGACGTACTGGGCAGAAGGTCGGCGAGGAGAACGAGGATAAACTGAACGACGTTGTCCTGCTTTCCTGCGGACTCGAGCACACTGGGCTTTCCCGAGTCGCCAACAAAGAGCGACCGATAGCCATCGAGATCACCTTCTACAATCTCCTTCCTCGCCTCGGGTTTTTTGGCCTTGTCGACAGCGCGGATGCGGGCCAGATGGTCCTCGGTGATAGTGCCTGCTCTAACCGCGCCATCCCAGGGAATCGGCCGCTGGCGAATGTTGCTCTGCAGCGAGGCCAAGTAGGTGGGAGGATCGAGCGACATGGCGGGCGATTCGAGGGAAGTAGCGACCCTGGCGGCTTCAGATACGGATGGAGCTGCGTCGCCGAGGGTGTTGGGGGATGGACGTTGTGGATGGAGTTGAGAGTCGAGTCGCAGGTCGTCGCTGCTGGAGCTGTCTGATGATGAAAGGTACAATGAAGCGCACTCAAACCGCAGCCACAGCCGCAGCCGTGCCCACACACAGTTTGGGTCACTTCCCTGCTCCCTGGAAGTCACAGCGTCAAGTCCACGGTCCTTGATTGGCTGGGGATCCAATTCTGCTCCAGCCACAGATGAGAGCTTCCAATGCTCCATCAAAGCTTATGATCAGCCAATTAAATAGCCAGCTACGGGGCCGTAGCTGTTCATGCCGGCGCGGCGGTGCGATTCATCTCCACCAGCCCCATCTCCGAAGCACGGGGCGGCTTTCCGTCCCAGGCTTGCCGTCTCCGAAACTTCAAAATAGCAACACTGATCCAGCTTGCCAGCCTCCCGATTTTATTCAGGGGAAATTGTCTTTTTTGGAGTGTCTTCACCAAATCGGTCTGCACTGCAAGATTACCCCACCCAGCAGTCGAGACAGGACCACGCCCTTGCATGGCGGAGAGGAGAAGCTCCCCCAAGGACCAACTTTGCGCATGTAGTCGAGGGCTCACCGTTGGTTCATTGACGAGGGGTGGTGATGCATATCCCATCGGTCTGGCTCAGTCGGGCTTGTCAGAGATGCGGAACCCACGGACTAGCGACTGACGACATCCCGCCGCGATCTTCCACGTTGCGGACACCGACGGGAGCCTGAAAGCTGTCACTGCGCTGCCAGCCTGCCCTGTGAACACCACAGACGATGTTTGCACGGCTGATTGCCTCCTGTCGCATTGCTTGGCAGGCTTAGTGTTGTACTGACGGCTGTACTGACCGCAAAGGCGGGAGAGACATTTCACGATAAGCACCGTGTCCCTCGAGATACTTCTGACAATTCTGCGAAGTAATTTGGGGCATTCCGAATTGGTGTTAAACTTTCCTCTCTGTCCTACCAAGCCCTATGCCGTCTTTAGTTGTTCGTCAGGCCTTTGGTACTGAAGCCATTGCATGCTGTCAGCGGAAGAGAGCTCAGCTCCATGTACGGAGGAGCCGTTCAAAAGTTTTAACTACCCCCCCTACTACCCCACACCTAGTAGCTAGCTATAATAGCCTACGCCTTACCTAATTAGGTAATAGCTACTAGTTATTACTTTTTTTAAGGGCTTATAAGGCCCCCTTATAAACCCTTCCTCTAATAATAATAAAATCTTATTACTACTAAATATTATAATTTAAGCCTCTTTTTATTCTATAAAAATAGCCCTAAATTTAGATCCTATTTAGAGGGTAGTAATTATTACTTTATAAAGTCCTTATAGTAGTAAAACTACTAAAGAAATATTATAGATTATTAGCCTTATAGTCTATACTATTAATAGGATTTATTTATATATAATTAAGGTAGGGTTTAAGCTTAATAATAATACTTTTATTATCTTACCTTAATATATTAATAATAAGCTATACTTTAGGCGCTTAAAGAAGTAAATAAAGGTAATTACTTAAGCTATTAAAGCTAAAGTATATTATAATTAGTATAGCTATAAAAAGAATTATATTAATATTATTAATAACTTAAGCTTAGAGGGTATTAATATCTCTATAGTAATAATATAGAGGATACTTTATTAAGCTAGGTTTTAAAAGATAAAACCTACCTATAAGCTTAACTTAATAAAGAAGATATAAATAGAGCGTTTAGCTTAATACTTCTATTATTAATATTAAACCTTAGAGGATAAGAAGAAGGTTATTTAGTTTAATAAGATTAATATTATATTACTCTATTATTAGGGAGGGTACTAGCTTTAATAGAGGCCCTTTAAGGCTTATATAAGGTCTTATATCTATAAGTAGTAAAAGGGCTACTTTAAGTTTATATTTTAAGCCTATTTTTTATATAATATTAAGGGTTTATCCTATTACTAAATACTAAAGACTATAAAAAACTAAAAAGAAGCTATTAAAGTTATTACTACCCTTAACGTTAAGCTAAAGCTTATTAAAAAGTAGAAGTAGGAGTTTAATATCCTCTTTCTATATTTAGGTTTATATAATAAACTAGAGAAGAAGCCTATATAGTACTAAAATAAAAAGAATAATAAGCTTATATATAAGGGTACTAATAGTATTAATTAGTATTACTATTATAAAGAGATCTTACTATTTAAGATCTTTCTATATACCTATTAATTTAGCCTTAATACTATTATATAAAAAGATAAAGCTCCTATTTATAACTATTAGTTTATTTACTATATATACTACCTTAGTAATATATAGAAACTCCTTTAGTATAGTAATAACTTAAATCTTAATACTATTAAGCCCTATTAGATATAGATAAAGTAGGAGACTATAAAAAAGGGGGTACCTAAGAGTTATATTAATATAATATAAATATAGAAGTAGGTTTAAAGTAAATTATATTAGGATTATATATAGGTTTAAATTAAAAGGATCTTATATTATATTAAATAAATTATTACCTTAAAAGGTAGTAATAAATATAAAGAGGGCTATAACGCTAGTAAATATTATTAATAACTTCTCTATGCCTTTCTTTAAATATATACTATTAAGAGGGGGTTTAGGGGCCCCCTACTCCTGCCCCTAACTTGCCCCTTATTGCCTCTACTTGCTAGCTGGCCTATAGTTAAAACTTTTGAATAGCTCCTCTATAATGAGTATATGACTCTTGGGGTAGCTAAGGAAGGAAGGAGCTGCTTAACTCGGTGCAAGTGTGAGAAACGGCAGGGAGCAAGCAGCGAGATCAGGGAAACAGATGTTCTCTCTACTCGTCGATTGTGGTCGTCCAGTGGACGGAGTGACCCCTGCAGGTAAACAGTGGATGCCAGGCGCTCTAGGCCGAGCCAGTCACAAACATGGAAAGCTCTAGGGACCCGTCCTGCCAGCTCACGCAGGCATCTCCCCGCACCAGAACCACTTAATACCCTCGCTCTCTGTGGTCTAAGACTCATCTTTTGACGCCCGATCTTCAGGAACCGCGACAGAACCAATTCTCTGGCAGCTGTGACGGAATCGATCAATCACGAAGAAGAAGAAAAAGCCCTGCCTCAAAGCTACAGATTGGGATTGCTAACCGGTGAGGTCAGATCCCTGCGACAATTCGTATTATTCGAGGGTGGTATTGTGGGTGTCAGGTGTGGGTGTGGTGACAGCGGCAGGAAAAGAAGAGGTTGGACTTGGGACGAAGAGAGGAGGTTGGGAATCCCGCGAAAAAAAGACCCTCTACCCAAACCAAGTAATACCACGCTCCAGTCTGTCCATTACCCTCTCTCTTAAAGTCACCTTGCTTGCAGGTTTCAATCTTTTCCCGATTTCTTGGTCTTTTCCTCTAGCAAAACCCAACAACATTCCAACCATCATCAAGTCCCTGTCGATAGCTGCTGGCTTACACCATACGGTCTGCACACTAACAGACTAGGCCGGCCAGCTCACTCACTTTTCTCTCGTTGCGCCTACTCCCCAGCCGACAGACGCCATTAATACCTCATTGCTTCTCTGCAAACATTCCTTCTACCTGCCACCTCAGCTCTCGAGGTGACAAGACAAGACGAATTCCGCAACTCCACCGTTGAGCTGACAACAACCGGCAAGAGTGAACGGCGGCTGGCTCACTTCTCAATCGCATCCTGCCGTTTTTTTCGGCTCCTAACATTCCTGGCTCTCGACGACACGGCGCTGCGCCTTCCGCCAGAATGAGCCGGATCAAGCAATCGGCCACGGCCCCTCTGGTCGCCGGCCTTCTTCTTTTGGCGTCGGCCCCCACTCCGATCCTCGCCCACCCTTATCCGTTGCAAAACATCGCGAACAACCTCTTCTACGAGTTTGGCGACAAGTTCATGAAGCGCGATTGCGTCCAGCGATGCGGAGCTGATTCCCAGTACTGTTGCGGCTCCGGCGAGCAATGCTACACAGTCAACAACATCGCCGGCTGCAGCACAATCAACGGAGGTGGAGGCTATGGAATTTACACCACAACCTGGACCGAGACAAACACCTTCACAAGCACAATCACAACAGATTGGCCCGAAACAACAAAGGCTTCTGGAGGAGGTGCTGGTGGTGGCAGCGGAGCTGCTTGTGTCCCGAAGAACGATGGCGAGACCGCATGCGGCACCATTTGCTGTGCGTCCGATCAATACTGCGCTTATGCCGGACAATGCGCTCAGAAGGGCTGGAGTATCACCACTGTCACTTCCAACGGCGTCCCCATCACGACGCAATTCTCCGCGCCCTACCGAGTCACCAGCACTGGGGCTACTGCAACTGGCACATTCGCCTCAGAGACAGCAACAGGAACTGCGGTGCCCATTACCGACGAGGGCACCGGCGGCGGCTTGAGCGGTGGGGCCATTGCCGGCATTGTTATCGGCACGCTTGCTGGTCTCGGTCTGCTCATGCTCCTTTGCTTCTGCTGCATCGCCCGAGGTCTCTGGGGTCTCATCTTCGGCGGCAAGAAGAAGGAGCGCAGTCGCGAGCGTGTCGAAGTTGTCGAGGAGAGATACTCTCGCCACGGCAGCCGCCGGCCTTCAGCCCACTCTCATCGTCCGTCTCACGGGGGTTGGTTCGGCGGTGGCCGTGCCGCATCCGCTGCCCACCGCAAAGAAGAGAAGAAGGAAGGCGCTAAGTGGTTGGGCCTCGGTGCCGCCGCCGCGACTCTGGTGGCGCTGTTGAACCTGAAGAAGGACAAGCCTGCACGCAAGCCGGCCCGGTCGGCGTACACTGATTCATATTACTCCTACACGGGGACAAGTCCCAGTGAGTCTTCATGGGATTCTCGGACTCGATCGGATCTGACCTCCTACCTAGGCAGTTCTAGTTCTGGAGGAAGAACTCACCACACGCGCGGCACCCGCACCACGCGTCCCTCACGGAGGTAGCGTAGCACCTTGAGTTCTCGAACCTCGTCACATTACATTTGCCTTCGAAGGCCTCTTTTTCGAAGGTCTTGAGAACAAGAACATGCTTCGAACGTATATAAATTGGTATTATCTTCTTTTCTTGGCGTTCAGGGGAACAAATCATAATTTGGCTTCAGGTTGTTGAAGCCCAGAACGTTACGGCACGAGAGACGAGGCCTGTGACAACGAAAGAAGAACGTTGATCCGAGAGACGAAGGTTGGGACGATTGGTACGAAAATTCGGTGGAATGAAGGATTGGAGACGATTATGAATGGGGCGTGAAGGAGAGAAGTCTCTTTGGGCATGGCGGTCCTCTCTCTTCTTTGAGCGTTTCCGGCTTTTTCCTTGGCGTGCTCCCTTTCCACAAACACCCTGCATAGCATGTACGATGTCAGAACGATTTGAATGTTATAGACGAAATTGGTGATGAGCCCATCCGATTTTTGGGTCACCGTAATGCACAAGACAGAAATCTCTTGGCCCAAAATTGAAACTCGAGATTGACTTTAGCCATGAACGGGGTCTATCCACCCGCGTTTTCAAGGTTCGCCTGGAAGGAAGTTGAGATGAACACCCGAAACATGGGCCGAATCCTGTCACATGGCATTTGCCAAGCTAGGTCAAGCTCTGTGAGCCGCTCGTCCAGATGATGCTATGTCTGCATCGAGTGAGGAGTGCAATTGACATAGGTAATGATGATGTGGAAGGACATGATGAAGGGCACTATCGCACTGCATATAGCTCCACGATGAAAGTGAGCGGGTTTGAGGCAAAGAGTCTTTCCGGTATCACACCCTCCTCAGAGTGGCCTGACGAGCACTCCTGGGCATGACAACGCGTCGTAGCAATTTCGAGAAGCGAAGATGAGCCGGATTCGGTTCTTCAGGCCCCATTGAGTGCTTCGGCACAGCGGACGATTATGGCTTCTGGTTCAGCTCGACGACAGCACACCAGCCTCACTTACCTGACCCGATACAGAGGCTTTCTATTAACACCTCCTGGCCTTACCTCACAATGTGATCTCCATACCTTAACTCTCAAGTAGAGCATCGTACGAGCATGACCTTGATCACACGAGACATCGAGGACGTGCGAGGGGGAGGGTCTTGAAATTGGTTGAGGTATCATTTCACCATTAACGCCGATATCGTTGCATGCATATATGACTTAAGACAGGTAGTGTTTGAATAAACCGCTCTGAAAATGCGAGCCGGTTGCGTCTTCTTGCTTTTGTTTGGTATAGCCCTGCGCTACACACTCACACGTTCACCTCATTTTTCGGGTGCCATGCTGTGCTTGCAAATGATTGAACCCCGGCCACTCCTGTCATAAGAACCCAGACCAGAACCCAGTAGTATTTTGAATTTCCCGCAGAGACGACGAAAAGCCTCGAAAACACTAGACCACACTTGACGTGATGGTGTCGCGTTTACTGGTCCTCAACGACGTTGCCCTTCTCGGAAACGTACATACCGTCAAGGAACTGTCGGTGCGTTAGTCATGGAACTCTGATGTTTGAGAAGCCCCGTGCGGATGCCGGAAGGAGCTGTCGTCGACTACGTACCTTACGGATATCCTTGTTGCGGACCTTGCAGATCTGCTGGATGTCGGCAGCAGACTGGGAGACGGCCTCGAGGGAGTTGCCCTGGAGGATGAGCTCATCCTTCTGGGCCTTGGAAACCTCGACGTCGACACCCTGGCGCATGGTCACGCGGCGGACGAGCTTCTCACCAATGAAGTTGCTTCACCTCAAGTCAGTATTCCGTTCACCTCATCAGATTGTCTGATAACATACCGGATCTCAACCTCCCAGATGTCGTCAGAGTTCTTCTCAACGTTGACGTTGATGGGAAAATGGGCGTAGACGTAGCGCATCTTGTACTTGAAGCCCTTGGTGACACCGGTGATCAGGTTGTTGATCAGGGTGCGGACGGTGCGGAGGGTGGCAACGTTCTTTCTTGAGCCGTGGTGGATCTCAATGTTGATGGAGCCCTTCTTGGGCTGGGAGAAGTTGACAGCCAAGTGGCTGAGGTCCTTCACCAGCTTGCCTGTTGCGCTGGTCAGCCCATTTGACTTCTGAGGCATGATCTCCCTTGAGGCACACGATGCGCTCGAGAGAAGTGCCAGCCGCGGGACTGTGGACCAGCTGCGTCTGACACCGAGGGGGAGGGGAATGTTGACTTACCACGGGGGCCCTCGACGGTAACGACGCGGGACTTGATGTGAACCTTGACTGTTGGAGAATCCAAGTCAGCATGCATTCGATTGCCTGCCACTACTGCTCCTTTCGAGCTCATCCACAGTCTAAAACTTTTCAACCCAAACACCCTTCCCGATCCCACCGATCCCGTTCACGCCTTCCACAAGTGTCGCATTCCCAGCGCACAATGGATGGACGGAGGGGAGGCGGAAAAAGGAAGGGTATTTTGTATCCCAAATTTCAGAATCCGGCGGAGCTCGCAGGGCCGTATCGTCGAAGACGCATGGCGGAGTATGCGCGTGGCTTTTTCTTCTTTTTTTTTTTTCGGAATTCGCGTCGTCGACGACGGCGATAAAGGCTTTCACGTACCATCCTGAGGGATCTCAAGAGTCTCCTGGGAGTGAATGTATCTCATCTTGACGTCGGGAGGGGGGTGGTCGGCGGGCGATTGGGCGTGGTCTGGAGGTCGCTGGGCGTTGAGTCGATCGTCAAAATTTCCTAAGTGACGGTCTTGAGAGAAACTTTGAGTGGGTGTGGGCGGCTTCGGTGCAGTAGGGCTCGCGCCCCAGGGAAACTTGACTGTGACGATGGCCCGTGCATGCCCGCCCTGTGGCCGGAAGCCCCCGCCGCCCGGGCCCGGCAGCTTCAGCCACAGGGGAACCACCAGCCACGTAGTCACGTGTAATCTCCAACCACCCCCAACAGAGCAGACGACCCACCAACAGCTCCTGCCCACTTCGACCGATAGAGCTGGCTCGTGTAGGTCGGCGCAGGTACCTTACAGCAGGCAGTCAACAGCGAAACCGAATGCACGTACGTCAGCAACGACAGCTCTCCAGAACACGACCGACTCCGATCGCTCGAACCCGCCGATAACGAACTTGATCCGCGCAACTGTGACGGACAATTGGTGTGCGCGCATCGTATCTACCTAACATCTTACATCGAATCGGAGTAATCGCGCGAGATCCGGACAACCCCCCGAGGCCAAGATGTCGTACTTCTTCTCGACCCCCGTCGACATCGACATCGTGCTGGAGGACGCGGACGAGCGGTCCATGGTCGATGTCAAGCTCGACAAGAACAGACGCGAGAAGGCGCCACTGTACATGGACGGCGAGTCCGTCAAGGGCGCCGTGACTATCAGACCCAAGGATGGCAAGCGGCTAGAGCACACCGGCATCAAGGTCCAATTCATTGGCACGATAGGTTAGTTAGCGAGCCGGTCTGTTCAGGGGCGCATCCGCTCTCACCATCCAGATCAAGCCAAGCTGACAGTCCGCTCAAATAGAAATGTTTTTCGACCGCGGAAACCACTACGAATTCCTCTCCCTCGTCCAGGAGCTCGCAGCGCCGGGCGAGCTGCAGCACCCGCAGACCTTTGACTTCAACTTCAAAAACGTCGAGAAGCAGTACGAGTCGTACAACGGTATCAACGTCAAGCTCCGCTACTTTGTCCGCGTCACCGTGTCACGCCGCATGGCCGACGTCATCCGCGAGAAGGACATCTGGGTCTACTCGTACCGCATACCCCCTGAGATGAACTCGTCCATCAAGATGGACGTCGGTATCGAGGACTGCCTGCACATCGAGTTTGAGTACTCCAAGAGCAAGTACCACCTCAAGGACGTCATCGTCGGCCGTATATACTTCCTGCTCGTCCGCCTCAAGATCAAGCACATGGAGTTGTCCATTATCCGTAGGGAGACGACGGGCGCCGCGCCGAATCAGTATAACGAGAGTGAAACGCTGGTGCGCTTCGAGGTGAGTTGCAGTCATCATGGCGAAAGCATGGCCGGGATGCTAAACTTGCTTATAGATTATGGACGGCTCCCCGTCTAGAGGAGAGACCATCCCCATCCGCCTCTTCCTTGGCGGCTTTGACCTCACTCCAACCTTCCGGGATGTCAACAAGAAGTTCTCCACCAGGTACTACCTTAGTTTGGTGCTCATCGACGAAGGTAAGGAAATAACACAGACGCGCCAATCGGGAGAACAAAACACGGCTGACCTCTATCAGATGCTCGGAGATATTTCAAACAGTCAGAAATCATCCTCTACCGCCAAGCACCTGACGCAGCACAGAGCCCGAACATGATTATGGCTGCGGCGCCCGAAAACCCCAAGCTCATGCCGCAGCCTACCCAGGTATAATGACGATGAAGACGCTGGCGCTCTATTGCGGGGTTGTAGTTATGATAGGATTCGGCGGTCGTCACGCACTTTTAGCATATGTCACGGCGTTTGGGGTACAGAAGCTGGGTCTGCCTGATACGAAAAATGAAATTATTCTGCTTCCACCAAAAACAAACCCAAAGCCCAATCCATGCAATTCGTGAGGTATCTGGTGTATCCGGATCATCTTCTCTGTGTCCGGAATCTTCTTGATTACTTGTACATGCTGTCTTCCCCGCCCCGTTTTGTGTCTGACTTATTCAGTCATCCATTTACAAAATGTCCATTGCGTCGTCCGCCTCGAATCCAAACTGGTTGTTCTGGATGGCGGCAATCCTGTCGAGCTCGTCCTGGTACTGCTTGCGCAAGTCTGGCAACGTCACGACCTTGCGCTTCCCGTGGAAGCTCGTCTCTCTCGAGTTGGGAGGAGGCAGCTCTTCGGAGAAGATCCAGGCCTGCTTGGGGTCGACGCAGCTCAGGGCGTTAATGAGCAGCAGGTACTGCTTCGTCACCGCGGTGTCCAGAATATCCTCGCCGATGAGCTTGTCACCTTCGCCGGCGAACTGCAGCTTCTGGATGCGATCGAGCAGGACCGTCGCGGCGCCGCGGTAGTCGTTGTGCTTGATTCTCCAAGAGTAGAGGATCTGGTGGTAAGGGGTGCCGCTGAGGACATCCATCGTCGATTTACATCTCTGTGCCAGGATCTCGTCGATGGAGTCCTGCAGGCCCGGAAAGGGAAGCGACAGGAGTTCGCTGTTGTGGTAGGTTTCGCACATCTTGTCCACCAGTTTGCGCAAAGACGAGTGTTGCATCGCCTTGTCCTTCATGGCCAACAGACTTGCGTGAGCTACATCGAAGCGCGATAGAACGGTTGCCGCATTGAATTGGCGGCTGAGCATCTCGCTCTTTACCAAAGCAGCCTCAGAACTTGAGTGCGAGTACTGAATGGCCAGTCCAGCAAACTCAGTCACGTAAGAATACCCCTTGGTCTTCTCAAAGAGCGCCACAATATGGCAGTAGTAACGAGCCGGGCCCTTGTTAAGTAGGTTCCATTCCGTGTCATCCAGGAGTCCGCTGCTGTGACGGTCGACGTCAACGTCCCTAACACCTACACAATTATTTAGTACAGTATTAAGTGGGATGGAGATGAAAAACTTACTCATGCCAATAGCCGCTTTGCGGAAGTGAATAGCGGCTGTGGCAAAATCCTTGAGGGCAAGGGAGACACGGCCCTGCACGTATATGGCAAAAGGTGTTTGGCTGCAGAATGGCGTGAGCTCAAGAGCCAGATCGGCTCGCTCTCTCCTAATGAGGGAGCACTGGACAAGCGTAGGTGACACCTCAATGTCGCTGTTCGAGGCGCAGATATCTGTGACAATATCTGTAAAACTTGCTGCCAGCGGCTCATTCTTGCCATCGACGAAGCCCAGGAGGTGTCCAACGTTACCTTCCAAGGCCGTGATTGTTTGTGTCTCCTCTGCACTGCGCTTGGATGAGCTGGGTGAGTCAGAGAAAGAACTGGAGAAGGAACCGGAGACAGAGCCGCTTCGCTCGTGCTTGTTTCTGATGGGGACTGTGATCTCCGTCTTGGAGAGCCATCTGAGCAACTCCAGCCTGCGAAGAGATTCAAGGAACTGTCGGAACACACTGCCGATGTCTAGTCTTTTGGAAAGCATGTCTTCTTCCTGCTCCCAATCGAATTCCATGTGAACTAGAAGCAACAGCTGGCTGAAGATGACGTTCCATTGGAGCTCGATGGTCTCTTGCACGGCCTTGACGATTAGTTTTCTTCCAAAGTCCGTAAGTGGCTGCCGGGCTTTACGACTTCCCGAGTCTGCGCTAGCTGCAACCAGAGAAGCAAGGCTGTCGTACAAATCCATCGTAATGCCGCTGTAATTCTGTCCAAGGCTCTCAATGACCTGGGCGCAATCTTCATCGCTGACACTGCGCCACATAGCGGTGGTGTCGAACATGTACTGGATCCGCTCGTAGTCTGTCCTAGGTGTTTCTTCGAAGATCTCGGGGCGCAGAGAGGCTTTGCAAACTTGTAGGATGCTGTCCGAAATGGCATCAACGAAATTGAGACCCGTAGAGAGAAGTGTCGCTGTCTTCTCGGAGCCCTCATCTGGACGCGAAAGATTATAGTAGAGGCGTTCGAGTTGGCTGCATTCCCGGATGGCAGAGACGGCATCTGCGCAAATCACCCAAGTCATCTCCGCATCCGAGTCCAAGATCAAAGCAACCGCCTCACCGCGCTGCCTGTCCAGCTCAATCAGCAGACGGTAGAATCTCCGCCACTGGATCTCGCTGCTCGCACGGAACTGCTCGTAGTCCATGCCGCCAGCCGAATTGCGGTCGAGAGATGCCGTCGAGGCGAGAACGGAGCAAATGGATTCTGCCAAGCCCTTTTGACTTTTAGAACCGCTCTCCTTCTGAGCCCCAAGACCCTTTTCGTAGATTGAAAGAGCTGTTTCCAGAGTTGCCTTGGTGAAACGGCCCGGCGCCAAGATCAACTCCAGCCACTTTTCCGTGGTGTCTGTTGGGTCAGACGGGCCAGATATCTGCGCCGTAGGGTAAGTGGTATCGATGTAAACAGAGTTCCACTCGTTCTCCCATGATTCACCGATGCTATCCATGTCGAGTTCGAGCTCCTGGACTCGGTAGGTCATGTTGTTCTTCCACAAAGTCCACAGTTGCACGCCTCCATCTGAAGGACTGGACAAAACGAAGTCTGCCAGAGTCCAGACGTCTGATAATGATGGCGAGGCCGGGACGAGGTGTGTGTCGGGAAAAGCGTCCTCAACGTAAATGGTTTCGCTGTCGTGAGCCTTGATGTTCCAGAACTTGAACTCTCCAGCTCCGATGGGCGAATAGGTAGCGCACATCCTCTTGCCGGCACCATCACCGACAAGCTGCAGCAAGTTTGACTGGGATGGCTCGATCTGCCACTTGCCCATCTCTTGGGGGTTGCGGTCGGAGTTCAGGATATCTCCTGTGAAGAGGATTTGACCGGTGCGCAAGTTCCAAATGCGCATGCGGTGGTCGAGGCAGACGGTGAAGAGGAACGCGGCATCATCCAGACCTAGATCCGTCACTTGTATCGATGTAGCGGCGCTAGCGTCCATTGAGATGTTGCGGTATCGAATGGAGTGGTTCTGCTTGAAGGGAAGGAAGCTGCGGATGCCTTGCGCCCAGCCTTGGGAGTTGTAAATTGTCTCTTTCCACGGGTTGCTTGAGGCTGAGAGAAGTTAGCACGGCGATCATGTTCCCTCGAAAGAGTTCAACGTACAGTCATGGCCCTTATTCCTGTCTAACCTCACAAGACCACCATCGTGGAGAGAGACAACGACTTGGTCGGTGCTGGCTGCGACCATGCGGTGTGGGTGCTTGAGACCGAACGCCTTCGGCTGATAAGCCTTAACAGCATCTCCGGGCCCGGTCTCGATCGCGGAGCGCTTCCTGAAGAAATCGGGGCGGATGTTGAAGGTGTAGAGACTGTGTGACTCGTCGAGGACGAACATGGAGAGTGCATCGTGTTCGCGGGGGTCGGCGAAAGCGACGCATGACGGCTGAATCGGGACAGAGAACCTGAAGTTGAGGATCAGAGGCGCATCGGAAGCCTTCTCCTGACGGCAGGTGTCGACGACGCGCAGACTCAAAACCAAGCCGTCTTCCAGCAGCCTCCAGAGGAAGCTACGCGGTGCATCGTGCCATTTTCTGTGGTAGACCGACGACGAGGGCGCCAGGTTCTTGAGTCGAAATGCAACTTCGTCCTCGCTCACGTTCTTGTCGCTGCTGCCATTGGTAAGTCTGCGGGCGGCGGCACCCCAGCTCGACGTCAGCGAGGGAACACGGATATTGACGACTGATGAGGCGGAGGCCGGTTCGAGATTGAGACGAGTCTCTCGGTAGAGGTACTGGGTGTCTGCGGAATCCATCTTTTGATGCGCCGCCCTATTTTGTAAAGACCTCTAACGCCGTCGGTGAAAGAGAAGAGGCCGCAGGAGTCGCGGGTCGGGGTCGGCGCATTCAACGGTCTGCTACAGCAAAAGTTCGTCGCGATTCGAGATGTTGGAATTTCACTTTGCCTGGCTCCAAACGCGCTGGTGGGGCTAGTCCCAAAACAGCAACCAGCTGTGTACAGTGACGTTGGACAGTGTCCCATACTCTACACAGTACGTACTTTACCTAGGTCGTGTCAAACCCCCACACGACCTACCTGGGTACATATGAACATATCACTGTAATGAGAGGGAAAGATTCTCAGACTAAGCTCATCATTTTTTTCTAGCAAATACTCTGTAACTAGTTCGCCGTTCAAGATGACAGCAGAATCTACACAACGCCAAAACAACCAGCCGTCCAACGCCAGCACCCATGCAAGCCATTTCCTGCCCATTAGAAGAACTGCCAAACCTCGGTCATATGCACATAACACCATAAGACTCGTACTTATTATAGAAATCGACTCTAGTCCTTCTCCAGATCCTTGGGGCTCGGGTCTCCGATACCGTCCTCGTTGATGGCGAAGAGACAGTCGCTCTCCGGCAAGCATGGGCTGTCATAGATCTTTGCGACACGAGTCTCTCCGCGACCCTTTCTCAGGCTGATTCTGGTCGTACTGGCATGGGCAATGATGTTACCACCAATTGGCTTCTTCGGGTCAGGGTTGAACATTGCGCTCGGTCCACCGTCGACCTGCGCGACGACCTGGTTCGTGATGACAACGGCGATGCCGAACTCGTCGGCGAGGCGTTGCAGAGAGCGCATGAACTTGGCAAGGTGAGTCTGTCTAGATGACAGCTCGCCACGACCCAAGAAGTCGGTTCTGTATAGAGCCGTTGCACTGTCGACGATGAGGAGAGAAAACCGCGTCTCGCACATCATCGCGGCCGCCTGCTGGAGAAGTTGCAGTTGGTGGTCCGAGTTGTAAGCACGCGCGTATGCCACATTATCTAACACCTCTTCTCCAGAGAGGCCGAATCGGTTGGCAACGGCAAGCAGACGGACGGGTCGGAACGTGCCCTCGGTGTCGATGTACATGCACTTGCCTTCGCCACCGCCCATGTCGAATGGAAGCTGGCAAGTGACTGCAAGAGTATGGCAAATCTGACTCTTTCCAGTACGGAACTCTCCGAAAAGCTCGGTAACTGATCCGGTCTCGATACCACCGGCAAGAAGTGTGTCGAGCTGCTTGGAGCCTGTCGTGATGGAGATGAGCTCGCTTCGGCGTTGGTGCATCTCGGTGGCGGTCGTGAAGCCCATCGGCACGAGCTTGGAGGCTATCCTTTGTCAGATCGGATGGCTCACACCACGAACAATGGCATCACGAACCTTCGGCGAGAATCTTGGAGGCCTTCTGCTCCGAAATACCCTTGATCTGCTCAAGGACTCGACGCGGGGTATAGGCGACCGATTCGACCGTGTTGTAGCCACCCTCGACGACAAGCGAGATGTCACGCTTGGTCAAACCTGCGACGCCCTTTGCGAGGCGAAGATCAGCTGTTTGTACGTGGACGATGAGTTTGGAAGAAACTTACCTCGAGAACAGTAAGTGGCGTAGGCGCGCCGGGCCCGGTCATGCTCTCGTCGCCATTATGGCTCTCCTCGTATCCTTCGACCTCGGCCATTGTGACCAATTGTGAGTCCAAATACTTTCCGATCAAGAACGGACTCGTGATGCGGTCGCAAGAGTTCGGGAAGTGGAAATGATCACGACCGCGACAGGTTGTTGGGGTGTGGGCGAGCGCGGGCTTTAACGCGTCGGGAGGTGGCGAAGAGAAGGAAAAAACGAACGCCAATTCACGTGCTCTCATTAAGACGCCAGCGGGACCCGCTGATGCCTGCCCGTGGCTAGGTACCTTAGTGAGGTGCCCAAGGTACGTACTCATACGTTCCTTGCCTAGCCGGGGTCTCCACTAAAGATAATCACGCTTGCATCATCCAATTGTGCGGCTCGCTTACGTATCTCAGCAGGCATCCAATCGCACTCAATTGATTTTCGATAACACGCTGTCGCTGATTTGTTGTTCCGACAAAATCCGAGGCCATTCGCCCGTTGGACGGACCGCCGGCGCCCTCGCTATAGCCGAGCCGAGAGAACCCGTGGCCGAGCCTAAGAACCGAGCAATAAAGGGTTTCTCTCCATGGTAGCCGAGGTTCCCATGGATCATCAAGGTCTCAAGAAGGTGAGGCCATTCACGCCACCACAGATGCCTGAGAGCTTATTAGACTGGAGTTTCATTTTTCCCGGATACCCAATTGACTATTTATTGCAATAAAAAAAGGCCGAAAAAACGAAGCGTTACCGCATCATCAGCGCGACATGTTGAAGATGATCGCAGTAGCCGAGGAACGTATCCGCAAGACGCACGTTACCACATGCGGCCAAGTACCGAATATTCTCAACCAAAGAGATCACAGAGATTAGTAACCTACCCACTATTACACCCCAGAACGGTTCCCCTCCGATTTGACTACCTAGCAAAGTATCTGTAACCCCAAACAAAACTGAAGGTTCCCCGTGGTAGCGCTTCCAAGTTCTGTGCCGCCTCGACTGCGCACCCTCTTTTTTGCCGTCTACATAAAAGCTTTCTCCCCACCACACTGTCTTTCCTATTCTCTTCCCCTCCATATACCACTTTCTGAAAGGAATCAGCAATCATGTTGGCTTCACGACAGCTCCTGGGCTCCATTGCCCGGAGCCGCATGAGTGCGACTGCCGGCACGGGACTGCGCCGTATGGCCACCGTTTCCGACTCTCCCCTCGACCGCAAGGTACGAAACCACCCATCTAGTCCAACACTCTGCTATCGCTCTTGTCTTCGCTATTGATGTCTTTCGTCGAACTCCGGGCTGACTGTCAAATAACAACAGGTTAGGCAGAACATTCACGAAGAGAACAACTTCATCAACTACAAGAAGATGTCCGAGAACCTCAACATTGTTCGCCAGCGTCTCAACCGCCCCCTCGCCTACGCCGAGAAGATCCTTTACTCCCATTTGGACGACCCCCACGGACAAGAGATTGAGCGTGGTGTCTCCTACCTGAAGCTCCGCCCTGACCGCGTTGCTTGCCAGGATGCTACTGCCCAGATGGCCATTCTGCAGTTCATGTCCGCAGGCATGCCTGCCGTTGCAAACCCCACTACCGTCCACTGCGATCACTTGATCGAGGCCCAGATCGGTGGTGAGAAGGATCTTGCTCGTGCTGTTGGTATTAACAAGGAGGTTTACGACTTCCTGTCTTCTGCTTGCGCCAAGTACAACATTGGTTTCTGGAAGCCTGGCTCTGGTATCATCCACCAGATCGTGCTCGAGAACTACGCTTTCCCCGGTGGTCTGCTTATCGGTACCGACTCTCACACTCCCAACGCCGGTGGTCTTGGCATGTGCGCCATTGGTGTCGGTGGTGCTGACGCCGTCGATGTCATGGCCAACCTTCCCTGGGAGCTTAAGGCCCCTAAGGTCATTGGTGTCAAGCTGACTGGAAAGCTGAACCCCTGGGTTACTCCTAAGGGTAAGTCGACCCCAACACAGACTTGACCTCCTATCAGCTGATACTGACTTTTTGTAGACGTCATTCTCAAGGTTGCCGGTATCCTCACTGTCAAGGGTGGTACTGGTGCCATCGTCGAGTACCACGGCCCCGGTGTCGACCAGATCTCTGCCACCGGTATGGGTACTATCTGCAACATGGGTGCTGAGATTGGTGCCACCACCTCCCTGTTCCCCTTCAACAGCCGCATGCACGACTACTTGAACGCCACGAAGCGTGCCGACATTGGCGACTTCGCCAAGACCTACGCCAAGGAGCTCCGTGAGGACGAGGGCGTCGAGTACGACCAGCTTATCGAGATCAACCTTTCCGAGCTCGAGCCCCACATCAACGGTCCCTTCACTCCCGATCTGGCCACTCCCATCTCCAAGTTCAGCGAGGCTGTCAAGGCCAACAACTGGCCTGAGGAGCTCAAGGTCGGTCTGATCGGCTCTTGCACCAACTCTTCGTACGAGGACATGTCCCGCGGTGCCTCCATTGCCCGTGACGCTTTGGACCACGGCCTCAAGTCCAAGGCCATCTTCACCATCACCCCCGGTTCCGAGCAGATTCGCGCCACCATCGCCCGCGATGGTCAGCTTCAGACCTTCGAGGAGTACGGCGGTATTGTCCTTGCTAACGCCTGCGGTCCTTGCATCGGACAGTGGGATCGCCAGGACGTGAAGAAGGGCACCCCCAACTCCATCATCTCCTCCTACAACCGTAACTTCACCGGCCGTAACGATGGTAACCCCGCCACCCACTCCTTCGTTGCCTCCCCCGACTTGGTCGTCGCCATGACCGTCGCCGGCAGCCTCCACTTCAACCCCCTTACCGATAAGCTCAAGGACAAGGACGGCAACGAGTTCATGCTCAAGCCTCCCTCCGGCGATGGTCTCCCCGAGCGTGGATACGACCCCGGCCAGAACACCTACCAGGCTCCTCCCGCCAACCGCAGCACCGTCAATGTCCAGGTCTCCCCTACTTCCGACCGTCTTCAGGTTCTGTCTCCCTTCCAGCCTTGGGACGGCAAGGACGTCAAGAACATCCCCATCCTCATCAAGGCCAAGGGCAAGACCACAACTGACCACATCTCCATGGCTGGTCCCTGGTTGAAGTACCGTGGCCACTTGGACAACATTTCCAACAACATGCTGATCGGTGCCATCAACGAGGCCAACGGCGAGGCTAACAAGATCAAGAACTTCACCACTGGCGAGTTCGATGCTGTTCCCGCCGTTGCCCGTGACTACAAGGCCAAGGGCATCAAGTGGGTTGTCATCGGTGACTGGAACTACGGCGAGGGCTCTTCCCGTGAGCACGCTGCTCTCGAGCCCCGCCACCTTGGCGGTCTTGCCATTATCACCCGTTCCTTCGCTCGTATTCACGAGACCAACTTGAAGAAGCAGGGTATGCTTCCCCTGACCTTCTCCGACCCCGCCGACTACGACAAGATCCGCCCTGATGACAAGGTCGACATCCTCGCTACCGAGCTTGAGGTCGGCAAGCCCCTGACCATGATCGTCCACCCTGCCGACGGCAGCCCCGAGTTCGAGGTCAAGCTTTCCCACACCTTCAACGCTCCCCAAATCGAGTGGTTCAAGAACGGTTCCGCTCTGAACACCATGGCCAAGGCCGCTGCCGCTGGCAAGTTGTAAATGGAAGGTGTTTCGTTGGTGTGACAAATGGGTTATATGGAACGGACGGTGTAGGCGTACATTTGTTTTTTATGCATGTTCTGGGGTGTCGGTCGGTGCAACTTAAAAGTCAATGACCGCTTTATGCCCTGTTTTACAGCCGGGTGATTATACCACTCGAGTGTTGTTCCTTTGTAAGAGCTAGCTAGCAAGTTCCTAGTCTGTACGAATTATAAACGTTTCAATGAGTTAAAATCTAGGCGCCAAAGCTGAAATCCGCTTGGAATATCTCAAAGTAAAACTGGTGCCCAACTCTGAATGTCTCGTTTCTTTACATGCCTCACACTCGACCATTGGGCCCCGAATCTCGCAGACCCGCAGGCACACTGAGTTACCTACCTAGGTTTTCTACTTGGTAAAATTTCACTCTTTGCAAGAAAACTATTTTATCACATCTTAGCAGGTGAAACTTATTGTTTGTTTTTATATGAGTTTTATTGAAAGATGCTATTTACAAGCCAATGGAGAGAACCGGGGTCTGTCCAGAGGCATTAGCAGTTTGTGCCATGCTTGAATTCCCAAACACCAAGCCATGCAGTTGGATCATTAGTGCGAACTCGATCGCGAAACCCCCACCCCCTTATCGTCGATATTGTTGCTGTTGTACAGAAATCATGAAATTATTCGTAAAGGAAGGCCGTCGTCGTTGTTGTGTCGAATTGTGAGTGCATGCATTTAGTTGACCTGGATGCGGCGGGTCTCGTGCTTGGGAGCCTTGGGGACCCGGATCGTGAGGATACCGTCCTGGAACTTGGCAGAGACGTTCTCCTGGCTGATCTGGCCCGGGAAGTTGAAGACTCTGCTGAACTCGCCGACGCTGCGCTCAGAGACCCAGTACTTGGCGTTGTCGACGGGGCCCTGCGGCTGCTGGTCCTTCTTCTTGTCAACCTCGGCGACGGTGTTGGCGGAGGTGGACTCGGCCTCGTTCTCGTCCTCGACGGTGGCCTTGTGCGCGGAGGCGGAGCGAGGACGCTCCTCCTTGCCGTCGGTGAGGGCGCCGCTCATCTCGGTGCCCTGCTGGAGGAGGCCGGCGGGCGGGGTGCCTGCGGTGTAGGTGCGCTCGACACGGCCGCGGATGTGGAGGGTGTGGGGGTCGGTGAACTCGATGGAGACGTCCTCCTTCTTCATGCCCGGGAGCTCACCGTGGAGCTCGTAGGCGTCCTCGACCTCGCGGACATCGAACTTTGGCTGGAAGGTCGGGACGTGGTTGCGGTGAGTGCCGCGGGTGGTGGTGCCGTTCTGACTGCCCTGGCGAGAGTAGTTGTCGAAGTCCTCGAGAAGGCGGAAGAGGGGGGTGAAGGAGGCGTCGTTGGAGTTGTAGAAGTTGCGGGGGAAGAAAGCCATTTTGGTTGTGTTGTGTGGATTGGTGAAAAGTAAAAGTGTGTGTTTTGAAATCGTTGCGTTGAAGTGTTTTAGGCGATTTAGATCGCAGAAGTTGTGAGCGTGTTGTTTTGAGAGTGTGATTGTTACAATTGCTTTGTTGTTGTTGTTGTTGTTCTGATGATGAGAAGGATATCGGATAGGGAGGATCAAGACGGTTGATTTATACACTTGAGGCAGGCACCTTCGAGCCTTCGCAGAATTTCCGGAATCATCGCTGGATGTGCGATGTCATCATGGCAAGGTCATTCTGGAAGCGGCTCGGACGTTGCGGAAGGGACGCGAATGCGCATGGAAACCTGCGCTGGGGGATTCTATGGGGTAAGCAGCTGGTGATGGCTTCACGATGCTTCGAGGTGCTTCTGCGCATAGAAGCTCATGGAAACTTCCAGCACATTCGCCCAAATCGCAGTGATGGCGGCCACCGAGCCAACTCAAAAGCATCAATTGACTTGAAACAATAAATTCGAACACATTCAATCTTCGATATTCTCGTTCTACATCCGCTCTTCGTATTTTCCGTACACTGCTCATCATCGTTGAATTCTAGCAACATGAGGCCCTGTGTAAGCTGGCCCGGGCAGAACGTTCCCTTTGCTTCCTCGCCTAATTTTAGAGTTTCGGCGTCGGAACAGGGGAGGAGGTAACTTTTCAACCAATAGGCTTTTGTCCTTTGACGTCAAACGGGTGGTCCGTGAAGGACCCCTGGCCGCCCTCCGAGGGCTGCCGGGCCCAGACTCGCCCATTCAGCTGGCGTCTTCCATCTCTTTCCGCCGTCCACGTCCCGCCGTCTCAAGGGAGAATTCCCTCCGCGTGGGATGAGGGCACGGTCTGGCCGCGCCTTCCGCCTCCCGTCCGCAACCTCCAGGTCCGTCCTTTAGCCGATTCATTTCCGGCAATGGTCGTCGTCACGGTGTTTCGAACGCCTTCTAGCAAGCGCGGTCGTGAACCCGTATACCGACAACTGACGCAATGCTCGAGTCAAGAAGAAACAGACGGAAGAAACACACAGCTACCGACATCAGGGGTAGTCGGAGAGCGTGGGGAAACTCGCCTCGCCTCGCCTCAATTGCATCCCAGAAGGTCATGGAAGTCATTTCTCAGCATCGGAGACGAGACAATCGAACAACCAATCCCAGAGAGTATTCAAGACCTCCCCCCAAACCTGCTTCAGCTGTGAACGTTCGCTAGCCACTATTAACCCCTGTACGGCAAGCTAATTGATGTAACGGTACGCCTATTCGTGCCACGGCGCTTCGGAGGGCACACGCAAACGAGCACGGAAACCATGCCAAATCCGCCCTAGGCCATGGTGCACAAAGCAGCTTCGCAGAGATATCGCGAGTGCCCGTTGCAGCGACCAGTTTCCACAAGTCTTGTCGATGATCTTGGAGGGTTGACGACGAGTCGACGACAGACGCCCAACAGGCAAGGACAGCATGAGACGTGCCCGGTGCGGTGAGCCGTGCCACCGTCGTCCTTGTTAATTAAGGTTCCGGCATGCATTTCGACTCGGGTTCATCCTTTCCCGCTTTCCCAGGGTCAAGCCACACATGTGGATGTCGCCACTTCGCAGGTGCCACATTCGATCGACGACATGTCTTGGGGACCACGGCAAGTGCTCCGTTATCTTGACTGCGTTTCCCGACTATACTCGTGAATCTCGTATCGTCAGGATGTGGTAGGCGGACAAGGCCGAAGGGGAGAAATGGCCTGGAAGTAGCCAAAGTTTCCGCTCCGTCCGCCGACGGGGCAGTTGATCAAAGTCGCTAAAGCCTGTCTTCTCTTTTTGTCGCATCGCGACCTGCTCTGACCATGACTAGTGTACATTGCACTTGTAGAAATTAGACAGTCGGATTAGGTACAATGTGAACCATTATCAGATAGCCAACAATCCTGCCCCAGCGCTCGCCATGGCCTGCATATGCGCTCGTCGTCGTAGCACGTCCAAATCCGTCATCAACCATAGAACCAAGACAAAAAATGACCCCGTGACCAGGAAATAAGGTACCGAGATGTCATGATCGCCAATTCACTGCTGGAACTGAGACCTCATAGGGGGATATCCTGCAATCATGGCCATTCCGGGTCGCATAGCAGCTGGCACTGCTCCAGGGTTCGGGGGGCTCTGGACGCGGTTGAAGAGCCCGATCAACCTCCGACCAACAGATGGTTCCAACTCCGTACCATCCCGTGCAATCTTCACTTCTCTGTTCGAATTCCAGGAGTTCCGGAGCCCGCGAGTCCGGTAAAACGGTAGTCGTGCGGTCGACAACCACTCGAGCTTGAAAGGCTTCCCCCAGGCCTTCGCCGGACCTTCGCCCTCCTGGTTCCCACTCTTCCTGCTGCTCACGTCGCTCTGCTCCTCCTCTTCATCCCCGCTATCCCCATCTTCACGCTCCGCCTCCCAGAAAATCGTCCCCCTGGCCGAGTCATCAATGATCCTGCCCTTGGGCGCGTATTCCGTGGCTTCCGTGGGGATGGCCTTTGGGAGATCGATATCGTTCGCGGATTGTGCCTTCGGGGCAAACTCGATCGCGGCGGCGGGGTCTTCGTTGATTGGAGAAGTCATCCTGGCGTAGCCAAAGTACTCGCCCGACTTATTCGCAGAAAATACAAGGTAAACGTTATCGACAGCCTGTCGATATCAAGTCAGCATCCACAAACTCATACCTGGACTTTACTTACCTCGTAAGCACCGTTGAGAGACTGCTCATTGTGAGATTGAGTCGCCCAGATTCCAGTCCTGACACTAAGCTCGAGATCCTCCACTGTCAGACTCTTCAGAATGAAGAACTTGTCCTTCTGAGGAGCTGCTTCCGCTGGCGTGACCGGCTTTGAGTCAACCGCGGTTGCCTCTGGTGCTGAAGCCTCCGGCGTGCTACTCTCCGCAACGATCGGCTGCGCGGGGACTTCGTGCGGGGTTTGCGAGCCCGATGATGCCGCCGGCCCAGTAGGCGCAGTCATGCCCGTGACTCCTTCGACTGTGCTCTTGCGAAGACGGGAGACCAGTCGTACGGACTGGAACTTCGAATCGTGCAGCTTCTGCTGAGCCGTAACGCAGGTCTGCTCGTCTCTGAAGTTTGCGAAGGCGCAGTTACTCTTCGAGATCAGGAACAGAGACTCGAGACCGTTCGCTTCCTTGCAAACGTGATGAACCAGGCTCATCAGATCGGTTTGGGGTGGTAGATTTCCTATCCAGATTGCGTGTCCTGCTGACCATCAGCGATTTGGTTATTGGAATGCCATCATAAAAATTTGCTCACCGCTCTGTCGCGGTTTCCGCGGTGGTCCTCGGACAATGCCAGATCTGCCCTCTCCAGCATCTACGACTGTGTTAGTACTGTTATGTACCCCTGATTCCTCAAATGACCACTGACCGACCGACTTGCCCTGGGAACTATGCTGGTCAACGCCGTTCACAGGCTGCGGCAAGATTCTCGGGTCGTTGTGTGTGGCGTTCGCTGCGGCCATGTACTGGGACGAGATCATCGGATTCGGCATCGCCTGGTTGTGAGGGGCATAGTGGCCTGACGGAGGGTAGTAGTAACCCTGCGGCATGTGGCTACCCTGCGGGTTCATGATCATTTGGTTTGGGTAGAAACCCATGTTCGGACGAGCCTGCTGTTGCGTCGGAGAAAGTTGGCTGGCATAGTAATGCTGCATCTGAGGGTGCTGAGGCATGTAGTAATGGGGATTGCCCATATGCATCGGGGCCTGTCCGGGGAACTGGGGAGCCATCTGAGGCATTTGCTGCATCATCGACGGCGAAGACGTGGCGGGGCTGAATCGTTGCTGCTGCTGCTGTTGCTGCTGCTGAGGCTGGCCGCCAGGCGCATAGGGTCCATGCCTCATGGGGGCGTGGGGGAGCGCGTTCGCCATGCCGTTCATGTTGAAGGCGCCAGGACGGCCCTGGCCTTGCTGTGCCATGTCGAGTTGGGAGGAGAAGGCATGCTGCGGGGGGCCGTACTGTTGCTGGTGATGCTGGGGCAGCGTCGCGCCTTGAGCCTCCATTCTTGACTTTTCGTCGAGGATATACGAGACACCTACAGCGTTCAGGCCTTGGTGAGAGTCCGCGACAGGATACTCGTTGGCGCTGGTTGGGGGTTGAACATCTCCCATTTGTAATGTGGTTGGTGCAACCTGCAGCCGGAGTCTATACCGCCCACAAACTGTCTCGCCCGAGTTAGCAAGTTCGCCAAAACCAGCGAACGGTACCAACGGCCTCAGGAAGCTGGTCCGTTTTGTAGTTTATACCTTCACGGAAGGACTAGCCCAAGCCTCCGTTTGCTAAGTCGACGGCTCTGGCTAGGGCGAGCCCGGCAAGAGAATCGCTCACAGGAAGGATATGACGGGTGTGTGATTCTAGGCGCCACAGAGAGATTGAGCTATTTGCGGAAGATGAGCGAATGCCCACGTTGTGGCCAATGTGGCTAGTTTGCACAGCCTTTGAAGGAAAGGGGGGGGGGGGTTTCGGTCTAGAAAGTCACGCTTCCGAGCGACCCAGGGTATATGTGGCAGGAAACCCTGCTCTGGGATGAAGAGTGTGTGAAAGTGTGGCTCAATGAAATTCCTAGAAGGCGATCAGCTCGTGTGGGCGGCCAATACCGATACAGAGAAGAGCCCGAAGCAGGGGGCACGGCGTAGCCTCGAGTACCGGGGTAAAGGGGGAGCTGCCGACGAGAGGACGGGACGAAGAAACGAGACGCGAGGGCCCAGATTAGGGAACTCCAGGCATGCATATCGTGTGGAGAGGTGCGGCTTTCTAGGTGGTGCAATCGCCACTAAACGAGGGCTGTCTCTTACCTGAACTTCGGGGCCCTGAGGCAGGGGTCGTTCTTTCTGGGACCTTTCGAGAAGACTGTACTGGCAGTTCAAGGCTTCGCGGAATGCGAACCCGATATTGGGAGAGCGAACGCGAGGTGAATGGTTCAGTAAAGAAATGACAAGTTGAATAGACTGAGTGTTGCGCGCGGGCTGGCCAGTATACACAGCGCGTGATCTGAGAGGCAACGAAGGAAGAAGTAAGGACTAGAGGTAGGCTGATGGTGGAAACCGTGTCAATCGGATGACAAGTAAGGCAGCTCAACTGAGTGTCTGACGGATAGTTCCCTGGCGTGACCGTTAGAGAACTGTTACCACAGTAGGGTGATGTAGGCAACACAAAGACTTGCTTGACCTTCTAACGTCCAATGATATTTGATATTTATGGAAGAGAAAAGGGCACAAGCCATCATGAGACCTAGAGAGCAGCCAGGAAGAAGACCACAAAAGACAGCACAGGGTCGATGTCAAGTTACCAGGAAGAAGGTGGCCAAAAGCCGGGTTCGGGGATCTGGCTACGCAGATAGTAACGTGCCGGGAAGTCGAATTAACCAGCTGCTTAGCAATATCGGGGCTGTGGACAGGCGGCAACGGCAGAAGGGCTCGCCGATGAGGCAAGAGAAACGTTTTGAGGTCTTGGAAGCGCGAGATAGCGGAACGTGTTGTGGAAGGTACAGGACAGCCCCAGAGTCTCGAGGAGCTGTCGAGGGTGACGATGAGCAGGAGGCGGATTCGGAGGAGTGGACAATTGGGGATTCGAGAGCAGCGGTTCCGGGATGTAGGCTGCGCCAGCTTTCGCCGCAATGTATCCGTTGCTACTTCTCCAGGAGACGTCGACCCAGAGCCAGACCACCAGGAAGAGGCCGAGATGGCAGCACCGTAACTGGGCGTCCGTACCGTACCACACCGAGCTGTTGGAAAAGAAGGGGACGAGTGAGAGTTGAGACTGGAGACTGGTAAGGCGAGATGGGAACGGCCGGGCCAGGCAGTGGGTTAAGTGGCGTTCAAGGGGGTGTGAGTTTAGGACCAAACGTGGTGTAAATGTGAAAACAGACGCAGACGCGAGAGACGCAGAAGGGGAGAGCTTCACAAGCAGTTTGGCAGGCGGCCACTGCATCCAGGACGGTTCAGCCCAGGTGGAACGGGGTCCAAAGACGGGTCGAGAGGGTGTGATGGTAGAGGAGGCGGATTGAGAGCTGCGGGTAAGGGGACATCCCTGAGGGTGGGAACGAACTGATGTGCATGGCCAGGTGCCCGTTCTGGAACGAGGAGCAGCAAATTGGATGAAGAAAGATGGGATTTTTTTTTCTTCGGTTCTTGGCTGCCGCTCTCAGATGTGCAAGGGACACAGATGTGGTCGGGTGGCCCTCCCACTCGACCGGGCCACGAGCTAGAGTAGGCAAGGAACGCACTACATAGTACACTACGGATATGGCTGTCTGGTGTTTTCCGCAGGGATACTTTGAGGTACGAGTATTCAGGATCAGAGGTAGGTAAGGTAGGTAAGGTAAGGTACTGATGATGTTCGTCTTCGACAATGGAGGAAAGGAAGACAAGAGACGAAGAGGGCCAAGAGAGGAGAGACCAGACACTGTACCTTACGTTGGCGGAGGGTGAGAGGGAAGGGACGGGTATCGAGAAACAACAGAAGAGGCCGAGCCCAGGGCAAGGCAAGCATAGCAGAACACCCAACAGAAACAGAAGAGAACACAACAGGTGGACGCCGTAGCCGTCGATGGAGTTTGACCCAGTCAACCAGTCTAGGTTGTCATTTGCCACTTGACCCGCCGACCATTTTCATGTCAGGATCCAGTTTGAGGGTGAACCGGTCATGGTCAAGTACTACCTGCAATCCAAAGAAAGGCAATGGGAAAAAAAAGGGCAGGAGAAAAAAAAAAGGCAGCGTTGTTGTTAGTCCCGGGTCTCGTCCGGCAGCCCAGCCACAGACTCCCCCGAGAAATCAGATTCGCCTCCGAGTACGTACACTCGAGATACCTAGGCAGGTACTTCTCCAGGTACATGACTTGTACATGCGGAGTTGCAATCATCGACAATTGGGTTGCTCCGTCTGTCTGCTCCCTGCCCTGCATTGCAAAACTTTTGCTGGTGTTCGCTACTGCTCTCGTTGCCTTCACGTTGACGTTGCCGTCCATCGCTTGATGGGATCGTCAACCTCCCAGTTCAGTGTATCTTGCGACGGCAGTTGTGCTATCAATAGACATATACCACTATCCGCATCCCCCTGTAACTGAGCAGGGAACTAAAGACCCTTCAACAGATCGTCGTCTGCTCGTCATTGCTTTTTCTGATTGGGCTTCTCGGGTGCTTTCGCATGACTGCAATGCGGCATCTCGAGACACAATCATACGGGTGTTGCAAGAGAGAGATAGCATTGGGCTGCGGACGGTGGCACAAATAACTCCTCTCCCGTCACCGTCATCACGCCCAGACCCTGGCAGCTGGCCCCCAAGCCTCATTTTAGGCTTTGGCTACCCGTAGTTTGATTTGCTTGATCTGACCAGTCCTGACGTGATGTGATCAAAGCTGGCTTGCTTGCCTTGCGCACCCAAGAATCAGAATCCGGGGGCGGCTATGCGCTTCGAAAGCCAATGAGTGGAATGATGCAAAGTCCCACGGAAGGGCTCGATGATCCGCAGAAAAGCACACGAGGCTTGTACCTTTTTGACCCTCGCTATACCACAAAGGCATATGGGAGGTTCGTGTCTCTCCTTTTCTCCGCCGCCATCACCTTCTCGTTACTTTCGGGAATTTGGAATAAGGCCATGATATCCACAACAAATCTGCCACAGCTTGGACGGCTGCTGTCTCCTATGCTGTCTAGCGCCCCCTTTGGAGTCAATGACGTGTTGCAAAATGCCAGCTTGGACGGCATCTGTACAGACAGTATCTTGGTACATGGTAGTAGTAGTAGTAGTAGTGATGAAAGATCTTCGACGGGTAACCGGCTCGGGGTGCGCAGAGACCCTCCGGCCATCGTCTCAGACGGACCATGAGGCGGCCCAAGCCAGCGCTGTCCGGCGCCGTGGAACCATAGTCGTTCCTGTCAGTTCCAACGAGGGGCCTAGGGCTATTGACGGGTGCTAGCGGGCATGTAGTCCCGCAAAGAACGGGCCAAGTGGGAGCCCGAGAGATGAGGCCGACGGATGTCATCGATGATCTGAATTGCTGCAGAGCGGGGATCAGTCAGCAGCGTCGAGCCACGGCATACAATCCAGCGAAATCTCATCTCGATGTACGAAAGTGTCAGGGTTGTAATCCCTGCACCGATGTCGGGGTAGGAATGAGATTGGAGGCTCAATTTGCAGCATACAACAGGCGGTACTCCGGACAGTAGGACAGGCCTAGACCAGGCCTCGTCGAGCTGTAGCCTGTCAGCCGCATGGCTGATACATAGTACCTCGGGGAGGTCTGGAAGGGACCTGGCCTGGGACCATCGGGTATCATGTCGTGTGGTGTCGCGGTGCGGGGAGACCGGTGGTCTAGACCGTTCTCCCCTAACCCAGAGCGCATCTGGCACATCTGTGAGAAATCTCTGGGCACGGGAGGCCTGCAACTGGCCCTCAGCCCACGGGTGGATGTGGATTGGTGGTCTGATGTCTCTCTCGAAGCCAGGACGGGCTAGGGTGAAGTTCGCGAGCGGCGGCAACTGCCAACCGGTAGAAGGTGGTCGGCCGAGTGTCAAATCTACTCGTCCACTGCAGAGACGGGAGCCGGGCTTCCAAGGCTGGAGACGGACGGAAATAATGTACCGGACAGGAAAACAAGACGTGTGTTGAAGCGAAGCGAGGCGAGGACAAAAGTGCATGGAGCCACGTCCCGCAATTCAGTGCGTATCCGAAATAGAGATGACGAAAAACGACGGTAAGTCGGGGTATGGGATGGTGTTGCCTGACTTGTGAAGCATCGGGGTCCTTCTTGGATGCGCTGTGTCCGTACGTGAGGCAAAGGGGCGTCGGCAGGTGGTGGTAGCTGGTGGTGGTGGTGTTGTTGGGCGTTGGTGTCGCTGTGTGAGAATCTGTGAGGAAATGGAAGGAAAGAGATGAAAAGCGGTGCTCTTTCCGCCAGGCTGTGGATGTTGCTGGATGGCGACTTCCATTTGCGGGTTCAGTGTTCACAGGTGAGTTGAGGGTCCGCGCGGTCCACTTCTCTCCCACTCCACCTCAGTTTCCGGTGGCTCCACGTCCAGTGTCTGCGGGCACCGCACCTGCAACGGGAGACCGAAGGACGGCCACCGGCGCGGGCACGCTTGGCGCACCGCGTATCGATTCCACTCGTGT